CTTCAGAATATTTTTTAAAAATCTATGCTTTGTGGCAGCTCTACGGTGCTTATCTCTGTCTTTGTGTGAATCCTTATACCAACGTCTTTTTCATGTAGTCTGACCATTGGGAAGCTAGAGGCTGACAGGGAAGAAAGATTTGCTGTCCATGGACAGACCCTACAATGAAGTCCTTACTGATTGGCATGCTACATTTTGGTCTTGAATTACCAGCCTTCTAACTAATCTATTCATACTCCTTAAGGATTTCAGAAGAAATAGTGATTTTTTTTTTCATTTCATTTCATTTCTGGCTTTTTGGTTTTCCTGTTTGCAAGACTCCCAATGGACCTAATCTCACCACGCCTCCACTCCTAGCTCCCTGACATGAGGGTCACACGATTCAGAGGGACACTCCCTTCCAGTCTTGGAGGTCACTAGTTCTGTGGTATTCCAAAAGAGTAGGAAGACAATAGCCTGCTCTTTCTCACAAACACCTCACATCATCACCTGAGAGGACACCCATATCCAGAAACCCTGCTTATAGGTGAAATTTGCCAGACCGAGTGGGACTTGGTTCTACAAGCCAGCATCAGGAGACCTACAGGAGACTCTAAGAATTCTTTATTTCAGGATGTTTAGGAAAGGAAGCTGTTCTTGTCCTAATTACAGGTTTAACACAGGGTTCAAGTGTTAAAGTAATCCAGATCACCAAATGTAACTCCTCATCATACTTATTTTTCTTATTCTCGGGCCTTAGCTAAGGTGACGCTAATAAGCAGACTATAAGTCAACCCCACTGACAGGCTGAAATGTGTTTTTCCAGCCAGAGGTTTTGCTAATGGATACACTAATTTAATGCTGGTACACTCTTTTGATGACTAGGAACTACTAGCAAGTTCTGGCTACTAGTGGTTCATGGCTCCACTAAAGAGGCCATAAATAATAAAATGGCCTTAGGGACACTGTGTTCCCAAAAGGCCAATGCCTGAAGATAATTGCCCTTTATACTTGAATCAGCTTTATATATTCATGAGTCCTCAACCAACCTGATCAGGGATCTATGGGGCCACCAAGTGGGCTCTCCCCACTGCCGAGGATCCATGTGTGCAGATGCAAGCTCAGCCTAGCCCTGGAAGCAAGCACTGCCAGCCAGAGACTGGGAAACAGAAGTAAACTGGAAGATGAGGACCCCAATAGAAATTTGGAGGATGCACAGAGACCATTAGAGTTGAAAATTAAACCTATGTATACTGGCTCCTCCCAGTTTGATGTTTTGGCTATTTTTCTGAATGATTATGCCATGGAGAATTTTCTGTTGACAAGAGTGGTCATGGAAGTAAGTGGACCCTTGGTCCCTTGATTCAACTCTCATTTCTTAGAATACTGGTTTTCATCCTATGTTTCCAGACCAGCAGCTGCGGCAACATCTGGGAACTTGTTAAAAATGAAATTATCAGGCCCCATCTCAGACCTACTGAATCAGAAACTAAGGAGAGGGCCCAGCCATTTGTGTTTTAACAAACCCTCTTGGTAATTCTGATGCACGCTACAGTGTGAAAGTCACTTTTTTAAAGGGAAAGGCAAGCAGCAGAGTCCCCACACCGAGGGGCTTTAGGACCAAAAAATAAGGTCCTAGGTTGTAATTCAGGCTTTTACATTAATTTGAAAGTTACCTTTCCCATGCTTCCTTATGTTTCTGTTTTTCCTTTTATTTAACACAGAAAAGGTTCATGTGCCTTTGGGCAGACGGGAGGGGGAAAGCAGGAATCTCTTTGAGTTGAACACAATCTTCAGAGAAAAATCTCCTGGCTCTGAAATTTTTACCTGGGAAACGAATGGGCTGTAGCTGAAGCAAGCAGTTGGAGGTCTCTTCCAGACTGCTCTTCTGCTAGATTGTGTCTACTCCAAGGCTTTTTCTGATTATATAATAGGATGAGAAAAGTCAGAACATCTCATTTGTATTTCCATGGCAACTTGTGCTCTTAGCAACATCCCCTCTCCTTTAGTTGAGTTCTAAATGGCACTGCTGGGTCTGAGAAACCTGGCCAGAACCTCCTTCCCCGGGGCAGCTGGAGGGCTCCAGTACCCCGAGGAAGACCCCGTCTCCATGCTCTGCTCCGCTCACAGGAGGGGCTGAAGCACAATGAAGATGCACGACAGGGACAACTAAATCCCTGGGCTCATCCTTTCCTTTCCCCACACCAGGCCTAGGGTACAGAATGACTCAGCCACAGTGATAGAATAAAATCCTTTAAAAAAAAAAAACCTGAGAGGAGCTTCTTATCTTTCCAGATTCTAGTTGGTGGGGCCATGGGGTAGATGAGGCTATTGACAACTGGTTTTGTTTCAAGTTTGTCAGTTTTCCCTGTGAGGGAGCTTATGGGTAGAGGACAAAGTAATGTGCTACTACTAGGCCTCTTGAAATCTAGGACCAAGCATCTGGGGAGGAACTAAGGCTGGAAGAAGACAAGTGTAAAACAGATTTCACTAAAATCACCCCTTCGGTCCCCCCGAAGGCCTATAACGGGCCTTTGGTCATCTCCTGTGCGATCTTCCTGCTTCCTTCCCATTCCTTGGAGACTGAAGATGTTAGATAATAAGCCAAGAGCTCCCATATCCCAGCCAGTGTCTGGGCTCCTGCTGTGCAGGAGCCTCCCACTTAATGACTTTTGTTACTGTTGTTGTTTTTTGTGTTTTGTTTTGTTTTTGTAACAGAACAATCTTTTTTTTTTTTTAATGAATTCCAACCCCTACCAGATTTCTTTCCTTCCCTCCCCCTCCCACCCCCATCCTGTTTTAGGCAGCACTGTTTATGTGATGGAGTCTGTGTTTCTCAAGTGCATGGCAATCCTCAGGTGGAAAGTGGGGAGGAATTTTTGCACCAGGTTTTTGTGTGTTTTTTTTTAATTTATTGGACATAAAGCCCCAAACCAGGATATGTATGTACCTGTGTGTTTGTTTTTTCTCATTTGACCCTCCCCTCTTTCAATCTACCCCCTTTTATATCTAATGTAGAGAAAGCAAATTTGAACCTGGAAAGCAAACCGTTGTATATAGTTGCGGTAACAATCATGAAGAGAGCTGAGCTGTCCCCTCAGTAATTTGTTTTAAGTAACAAATTGGTTGAAAATTAAATCCATGCCAGGCCAGCTGAAGAGGCCTTCCTTCATCACTGCCAGAGGCCCCTCTCATCTGGGCCCTCTGTTCCATCAGGCATGTCTCCTCCCAGCAAGATTCATCTGTTTGATGCCATTTGCGTTTCAATAAAGTTATCTCCTGTATTGTCCACTGGTTCTCTCTAGTTCCCTCTCTGTCTGGTTTCTGTCTCCATTTATCTTGTGGCCCATTCCTTGATCTGCAAGGTGAGACTGCTTGCGGTCATTTGCCTAACCAAGAGGTAAACCTCATCTCCCTGGAAATGTCTGATCCTCAGATCCTAAGCAGGAGCTCTGGAACCCTTTGGTTGGGGAAAGGAGGGGTCGGGGAGTTCCCTACTTGCACGCTGTGGACATAGCATCTTTCACCAGCCCAAAATTCAGGGTTCTTGAGTCCTCCATCCACTGCCACAATGTTTGAAAATCTACCACCCTCTGGACTTTCCTGTTCTCTTCCAGGGGTAAAAGTGAATTAACCCAGGAAAAAAGAAGCTGCTCTAATGGAACAAGGAAAGAAGGAAAAGAAGTCCTACTATTCCCTACTATGGAATTTCAAGGTCCAAGAAGCAATCTGTCCCCTATGAAATTGTGGTAACACAACCCACCTGTCCTTTCACATGAGAAATGACAAATGTCCTCAAGTCAAGGAGCTGTCCTCAAGTCAAGGAGTCAATCTTTAGGAAGAATACTCAAATGAAGTGACACCCCCAGATCACTATCAATTTAGCAGCCATGGTCTTAGAACTAGGCTAGGAATTGCCATCTGGTTTCCTCTGCCACTTGGGAATGAGAGTCAGAGTTCCTAGAAACCATTTTAAGGCACTCAACCTGAACAGCTTGCTAAAAATTACCTGTTCCTCTTGCTCTAGAGCCTCCCATTCCGAAAACATGCCATTCTACCCCTCTGCCACTACGTGCTTGCCAACCTGACGTGCATTTTTTAAAATTTGAAATGTATTGTTTTATTTACATTCTGCCCTGCATTTTTAACCCCTCTGGATAATCCTCTCCACTTGCTCCAGTATTTAGCATTATCTCTATTCCTTCAACCATTTCCTACAACCAGCCCGAGGATATCCATATTAAACTTCACTCCTTAAATGTCCAGCCACAATTTCTCTGGGGAAAAAAAATTTATACGTTCTCAGCGAATAGGATTCATTCTCAAATAGTCATTCAAGTACTTACTCTGGAGGAAATACCCTTCCCCACGCAGGTGCCCTCTCCTGGTCAGACACTCCACAATTTTGAAGTTGGGCTCAACTAGGCTGGAAAGCCAAGGGACTGGGTCTTTTTCAGGTGACCACTCTCCACTGCCCAGTCCACTTAAGTTTCTTTTTCCCTACCTTTGAATTCTTGAGGCTGAGATGAAGAGACTCACGTGAGCCAACGGTTTTTTTCAGTGTTTGGGGTGGGGGGGAAAGACTGGTTTAAAATAGCTATTTCTGACCCAGACCTCTCTCCTCAAAGCCCTCTACACCCAGTCCCATTTCACTTCCTCTCTTCTAACAAAGTATCTTATACCTGAAAGATCCATGAATTTAAAGTCCTATATCATGGCGTTTGTTCCAAGTGAGTTTGCTAACTTGCTGTTCCACTTTAGAAAATCCCCCTAACCTCAGTTTTCATATAAATGTGAAGTGGTTCTTGCGCGAAAAGGTGCGGTTTTCGTCCGTTACGACAGGAGGCGCTGTCTCTGGAGGCTTAGGCCCATTCCCCACCCCCTTCTCGCTCCCGCCCTGCTCTGGTGCGCAGGCGCGGCTTCGCGGATTGGCCGCGCGCGGGAGCCGTCATTTAGTGGCGGGTCCCGGCCGCGGGGCTGGCGGGCTGAAGGGAAGAAAGATGGCGGCAGCGGCAGCGGGTGGTGCGGCCTCCGGGCTGCCGGGTCCAGTGGCACAAGGATTGAAGGAGGCTTTGGTGGATACCCTCACCGGAATCCTGTCCCCAGTGCAGGAGGTGCGAGCGGCTGCCGAGGAACAGATTAAGGTGCTCGAGGTGACAGAGGGTGAGTGAGGCGGGACCGTCACGAGGATGGGTCGGACCTGGGCCGGCCGTACTATCCGCTGGCCGCAGCTCCGGACCGGCCGGGGGCAAGCGGAGTCAGCCAGTGGAGATCTGGGCACCGAGGCCCAGCAGGCGGGAGTGCGGTAGGAAGCGAGAGGACGATGTCCCCCGGTGGCTGTGAAAGTCCGGGAGAGGGGAGGCGCGCCTGGGGGAGAGGGTCGGGGGAGGTGGAGCCTCGAAGGGGAGGGGGAGGGTGGAGACTAGAAAAGCTAGATGGAGTCTGGGATCTGCGGAGGACCGAGATGGAGCTAGACCTGCTGCTGTTGGAGGAAGTCGCGCGGTCTGGGAAACATTTTTGAGTTCAGACCAGGGTCTTTTGCTGTCCTCTTTGCCAGCTCGGTTGTACTGAGATAAGAGTAAGGGGAGTTATTAGAAGTGGTGAGAGGGCAGAGCCTTGAGAACGCGGCTATCAAAGCTTAGTACATATCAAACAAGTTTCTGCCTCTGAGTTATAAGCCTAGCTGGTCGTTTTACCTCTTAATGTTTTTCCAGAAATCAAATTCAGTGCATGTGCAGATGATTCACCTTCCTGATCATACTCCCCGTTAATTTTTGAAAATAATTTGCACTTGTTAAATACCGCTGTGTGCATTTCTGTTTGAAGGAACTGATCCTTTGTCTTTGACTCTTTGTCCCCGTACTCCTATTATATGCTTTAAAGTGATGGAGAAAAAACAAACTATTGGTTTGAGATTGTCAATTTTCTGCTGAGTGGGCCTTTCAGCAGGCCCAGTGTAGCCACTTTACAAAGAACAATTTGATCCTAAAACAGGAGGAGGGAAAATCCTCTTGGTCTTTATGTAAGAAATATATTTGGTTTGTCAGGGCTTCACTGGAAGAACTGCAAATCTTTAGAATTTCCCCCAGCTCAGCCACCTCTTAGAGGCCTCTTCTGAGATTGGGGAAATTGTCCATGGACTAACCAGTCACACTCAAAACCTTGAGTTTGCTGTCCTACTGGGCTTAGGGTTTTTACTGAAAAAGAACTTCAGACAAATCTTCCTTTAATTTTATATTCTCTCACAATATGAGATCGCTGTTGAAAATGAATTTCCTTCTGTTGAAAATACATTGAGATTTGGGATATAATAGGTTAAGGACCATTTTGAAGGCCTAATTGTAATTGTCATTGTTCTGTAAAATGTCAGACTCTACAGTAGGAGCAACCACTGGTTAGGAGAAAGCTTTTTGAGAGCCATGCATAGATTGATTGCAGTTATTGCAGTCGCTTAGATAAAAATTTTTAATTCACAGTCTCTGCCTCCCTTGAATATTAAGGAGGAAGAGTGACAAAGCAAAGGAACCTCATCACATTCAAGTTACTACTTGAATAAAGTTGAGGGTCTGATGCCTTCCGTGAATGATATCCAATGTTCCTGGTGCCCAGATGTAAGTCTGGCACCTTCCTACAAGAGGTGAACCTTGGTGCATGTTTTAACTGTCCAATAACAGCTCCACTTGGGCTCTGATCCCTTCTCTAGCCAGTACCATGGTCTCATCCAGGCATAGCCGATTATCGTATAAACTTCTTGAGATCTTTTTGAAATTCTAGTCTCTCATTTTCTTCATCTTTTGGGGCCTTGAAATCTAAAATTAAACAGAAGTGCAGCGTTTTGCATTTGATTTAGGCCACTGACGGGAATAGACTGAAACACACACACCTTAGCTTACTGGTAATGTGCTATCAGGCATGCTGAGCTACATAAAAAGGCTATATAATACAGTGACCTGATATTGATGGTCTAGTACTAAGGCATATGACTCACAGGTTTAGGATGTAATGTACAGGGTTGGACCAGGTCTCTGGAGTTGATTGCAGTGCTTTGGACCCTTTGGAGGCTATTTGCGTTGTTTAAATAATCCAATTCCTTATGTTTATTTAAACATGATAAAAATTCACCCCTTTTCAGTAACCTCTTTATAGATGGAGGGTGATGATCCATTCCTCAGATGTAGTACCTTGCTTCTCTCCTTTCCTCTTCTTATGGGCTTTACCAAGTTATTTTTGCCACTGGTCCAGAGTACCTCCTGTCTTATATTCTGTCTGAATCTCAGATGGTTCCCTAACATGGTCACTAATTTCTTTCCACTAGCCATTGCCTTCCTTTAGATGAAAATATAGCACCTGGCTTTGCAGCCAGGATTTAGCCAACTATCTGTCCTGATGAAACTGGTAGACACTGCTCTTCCTATTATTATTAGAACACCCTGGAGGCCAGAGTAGGAACCATTCTTATAAATGAATGAACAAATCATTTTCCATTCCTTTGGAGTTGCTTCACATTTTAGTTTTATCCTAGTGGAAGAACCTTGCTTTCTGGTCCTAGGAAACACACTTCCTTAGAACTTGAAGTTAATGAGAAATCTGAGAGTTGGTGTCTGTTATCATTTGTGTTCTGGTAATCTTTTGATCTTTTTGGTTCCTGGGGTCCAGTGTCAGGTAACAACCAAATCTGGTTAAACACAAATTACCACACTGTCTTTGTAAGCCATTTATTATTGCCTCACATGAAGGACTGGTCCCAGTTGATCTTTAAGATTTACCAGTCTGCTCCCTTTGACAAACAGATGTACCACCTTCCTTGGTTGCCTAGTCCTAGTCCTGGAGCTTAAGTGGAAGAATTTCTAATTTTGAAGGAAAGAACACAGATCATTTGTTAACCCTCCTCTGTTAAATGGACAGACAAGAGAGGTTGACATACTCTGACCAGATTCTTGGGAAGATGAGATTTTAAGAAGCATTTATCCTAGAAAATTGAGGTTGCTGGAGCCCAAAGTACATTCTGGTCATTTAGTCTGCCAACTGAAATTTTCCAAGAAGTAATTAGTTACTGTGTTTTCCAGAATGGGAGCCTACTGTCTTAAGTCTAAGCCAAGGAAGTGTATATATGTGAGAGATCCATCTCTGATACTGGGTTGATTTCAAAAGGATCAAGATAAAATCAGCCTGGTGTCCTGGAATGATGTTCTTGAGTTCCTGTGCTTTCCATTTTCCCCAGTCACTAGGAATCTGAGGAAACCCAACAAACCTTTCTGAATAGAAACCTTATTTAACAGTGGTTCATTAGAGAAGGAGATGGTACCACAAACCACCTTCTTCAGACACACTCCCATCTGGAATTAAGAAGCATATTACTTGAAAGTTTGGAAGTTCCTCTGCTGTTACAGTATTCCAACAGATAAATGGTCCCCTTTCTTTTTTCCTTAGGAAGATTGAGATTTTGAGTTTGATAAGCCGAATTTGCAGGAATTGAGTTCTGCCTCAACAGAGGAAAAATAAAACTCTTTTGATCTGTTAGAGCATTCTTCTAATTCTTGTTTTATTTAACAGGCAGGGTCATATCAAGCATTTTATAAACATAGTAGTTAAAAAAGATCGGAAAGGTTGTGAACTGCCAGAGATCTCTTACATCAAAGTCTAATGTCTACTGAGCTTTTCTTTTTTGTCTGACTTACAAGATCATGACTTATGAGAATATCAGCTCTTATTTTTGGTTTATTTATGCTTTACTTTTTTATATCTTAGAATGAAGGTTTTCCTTCTGTCTCTACTTTCCTCTAAGAGCAGCATCACCCAAGTGGTAGAATGAGTTGCTTTCATTCATAAGCTCTAATTCTCCAGGCCAGCATAGCAGACTCTTATATAACGAAATTTAGACCCTAGGTCATTTTCTTCTCTTATTTCTTTCCGTCTATTGGAAGTGAAGACATTTTCCCCCACCATTTGGCTTTGACTTAGTCTTTTCTGTCTTGCTCCTAGCAGATACATCACATAAAATACTTTTTTCCATCACCATTATATTGAACTGGGGGGGGGGGGAATTATCTCTCCCTCACTTTTCCTGGCATTCAGATGCTGCCCAAGTATCTGTGTTGATCTCCCCACCCCCACCCCCATCTTAGATGCCTAGAGAGATGTTCCTGCTAGCTGGAGGTTTGCTTTCTGGTTCTCATGGGCACTTTTCTGGCTCTCTTACAGTATAGCGTAAGCACTGTCACCTGCGAAGGGAGCCCCTCAAGGATCCAGACGCACTCCTGGGCATGTGGCGGGCACTGAGCCGAGCGGAAGGCGGCCACGCTCGGAAAAAGGCCAGTGGTGGAGTTTTCTTTTTCCTTTCAGCTGTGGTTTTGTGGTGCTTACCAACCCCCGTGAGAAAAGGGGGCTTCTCCAGAGCTTTACTCAGAACTACCTCCTTTCCCAACCAAACCCTATTCATAGTTCTTCCTAGTAGTAGCTTCCCTGACTGTCAAAGCACTACCAAGTCTCATGTCTCTTTAGTAGACCCTTAAGACCAATAGTATATGTTTCTTAACTTAATCCTTTATTCTCCATGCTCTCCTTTGGATCTTCCCTTCTAAGCCAGGTTTTAGACAGATAATGTTTTTGCCTAGTGGCGTGAAAGGGGAGCAAGGATAATGAGAGAGCAGAGCAAAAGTCTAAACACCAGTCTAAAACACCAGAGAATGAGTTAAGGGATGAGGGCAAAAGCTTTCTTAGAAAGGATGTCAGAGCATACCATTTTGGGCTGGATAAAAGTACTCAAGAACCTACAGTCAAGGTGAAAACCCAGATTGACAGAACAGGTCTATCTTCACCTTGGGAAAAGGAACTAGAGAAATTAAGTCTAACAAAAATGGCATTAGAAAGCTAACTTTATACAACCCATTTGAATGGTCCCCCTTCGGCTTAATTGATTGTAGATTGAATCTTAGTTTAATCTGAATTGTCCTTTCCAAGCAAGACAAAATAAAACAGCTATGTATCTTTGTGTCTCTTGTACTTTTCTGCCTTAATCATCCCAAAGCAAGTTATTTAGCTGTTCTTTCTAATGCTTTCTAAAGAAATTGTTAAAGACACCAATCAGCAAAACTGGAAATCCCCCAATACACAAAAATATAAGTAAAAGTACCTTTTCTTTACAGATTTACTTAGTTGTATTTCTTCAAAAAATATATGGTCTCTGTTAAGTAAGTATCTGTAAATAGAATTTTTACTACTTAGCAGAAATCAGCACTGGATAGGAACAGCCATGTTGATGGTTTAAAACAAGTCAGAGAACTTAAGGATTTTTCTCTGGCTTTTCCTTCTGTGCATTAGTTTTAAAGCACAGAGTTCACCCGTCACCACACCACCACTATCATTCCTTGTAAACAATTCTTCATATAGCTTTTAAATAAACTAAGTTTTATGGCATGAAACTCTCCCGTGGTGACTGATACCCCTATATTTCTAATGGGTATATAGTCTAGGCGGAATAAATTGGATTAAATAAATAATAATTGAACTTTCCCTCATATCCCCTTATAACCTAATGCAGGTGAGTTCTTGGTCTTTGAAGTTTTGGGATTTCCAAACCAGAGCTGATCATATGGCCACTGGTTTTGAAACTGTGGGAGCCTGTAGAAAAGAAAATCTGTTGTTTATCCAGTCTGTTTTTAAAATTTGTCTTTAGTTAATGGTGATTATATTATTTGAAGATTTTCTTTCCCATTAATGCTTTTGAGCAGAGAGTCATATTACTTGAACTTTCAAGCCTCTTCTTTCCTATGTGGAGGAAATAAACTTTCAGAGAAATCTATCTTATAATGCTTGTTGTAGGTACAGATCCCCTAGTTGACTCAGGTTTCTTGATCCCGCATGGACCTTAATCTTCCGATAGCCTCTTACTCTCACCATCCCTTGCAATCTCAGCAGTATATGCAAAGTGATTAGTGGAAATTGGGGTGTGATCTTTGATGATCTCAATACTAGACAAGATTAATTTAAAGCTTGTGTTAGAGTGGAGAGCTCCCAGCTATTGTGATCTTTACTAGAGTACTACCTTCTTCTGGCAGTGGTATGAAAAAAAAAAATGTATTCACACTAAGCTTTTCTTTAAAAAAAGTAGACTTGATGTTCTTAGGTTGATGAGAAAGGACCCCCCGAACGTGGCAGGACCTGTGTATAGAGTTTGCCTGGTCTTCATGCTGTAACAATTCTTCTAATTGATGCCATTGTTGACTGATGGAAAGTGGGTGGTTCCATTTCCCTTCTGTGAGCCGTAGTGTTACCCTACAACTGTAACAGTATCTGTGCTTTCATTGGAAAGGTAATTATTCAGATTTGTTTAAGCTTTATAGCCTTGCCTCAAGTTTCATATCTTCTCAAAAACTCTGATTTTTATACCTCAGTATCTTTTTCATATCGTATGATTAAAAATTTTGCTCATCTTGACCCCATTTTAGTTTGTCCCTGTAATAATGATCCATAAATTGTGCTCTTGCCAGGAGCATTAAAACCCATATCACAGTGGTCCACACAAAAATTGAAATAAGTACTTTAAAAGAAAATACTGTATGGCCCATGTAATTTATGAATACGTATGGAACATCCTGAAAGATAACACATAATTGTCACAGAATTGGCTGACTGTATCCAAGGAAGCTAAACTTGGGTGGACAGTGACTTCTAAACAGACTTGGGGCTGTAAAGTTAACATCCATCATCACACTAAGTATCTGAAGTCAAAGAAAGTGGGGGTGGGTACCTTTACAAGTGCTCTTTCTCCTTTAATTGAATTTCACACATGCATTTTAAAGAGCTTTTTTCCATTAAACTTGGACACTGGTTGGTATCCAGGAGGTCTTCCAGAATTATATCTGACTCATAAGTGTTTTAGTCCATTCTGAAAGTTGATTCCCATAACTTTGCGTTGTGGACACCTAGTGTTTTTTCTGTTTATAGTTTCACAGACTTACCAGAGCCTGGGCTCACCAAACCAGTCCTAAGAATTAGAATGAATTTCAGTATATTTAGAGGTAATTCTACAGGTTTGAAGTGTTTGCTTGTGTTTTAATCACTTAACTAAATTCTTTAGAAATATTGTGGCTTCTTTTGTGGTGCTCTTGCAAAAATTCTTCTTTCCTGGGTGAAAAGATAGGTGCCATAAGATTGTATTAAAAACTGCAGTTGAGGAGTGCTTGGGTTGCTCAATCAGTTAGGCATCCAACTCTTGGTTTCGTCTCAGTTCATGATCTCATGGGTTATGAAATCGAGCCTCATATGGGTCTCCCTGCTCAGCAGGGAGTCTGGGTGGAATTCTCTCTCTCCCTCTCCCTTTGCCCCTCCCCGCTCGCTTTTGCTCTCGTTCTTTCTCTAAATAAATAATAAAATAAAAAATAAAAACATCTTTTAAAAAAACTACAGCTTAAAATAAGGGTGTAATAAGAATGAGTTAAGAATCTAAGGATTTGGGGGGCGCCTGGGTGGCTCAGTTGGTTAAGCGACTGCCTTCGGCTCAGGTCATGATCCTGGAGTCCCGGGATCGAGTCCCGCATCGGGCTCCCTGCTCGGCAGGGAGTCTGCTTCTCCCTCTGACCCTCCTCCCTCTCATGTGCTCTCTCTCATTCTGTCTCAAATAAATAAATAAAATCTTTAAAAAAAAAAAAAGAGGTAGGGCATAAAATGCAAAAATCAATAGCCTTCATATAGACAAACAAAAGGCTAGAGGACATAATGGTGGTTTTTTAAAAGTCCATTTACAATAGCAACAAAGAAAAATACTTAGGGATAAAATTAACAGGAAATGTACAAGAACCTATTGGGGGAAACTATTAACAGTCCTGAAAGACTTAAAAAGTAAACTTGATTTTCAGAGTCCATTGTCTCTCATGGTTCTGAAAAACAAACTGGGGGTTCTAGAGGGGAGCGGGGTGGGAGGATGGGTTAGCCTGGTGATGGGTATTAAAGAGGGCACATTCTGCATGGAGCACTGGGTGTTATACGCAAACAATGAATCATGGAACACTACATCAAAAACTAATGATGTAATGTATGGTGATTAACATAACAATAAAAAAGACATGCACATAAAAAAGTAAACTTGAACATAACTGCTTAATGGGTATGGGTTTTATTTTAGGATGATGGAAATGTTTTGGAATTAGGTAGAGGTGGTGATTGCACAACATTGTGAATGTACTAAATGTCACTGAATTTTTCATTTTAAAATGGTTAATTTAAAAAAACAAAAAAGGGGCGCCTGGGTGGCTCAGTCGTTAAGCGGCTGTCTTCAGCTTCAGGGTCCTGGGATCGAGCCCCGCATCATCACACTAAGTATCCGCGGGAAGCTGCTTCTCCCTCTCCCACTCCCCCTGCTTGTGTTCCCTCTCTCACTGTCTCTCTCTCTGTCAAATAAATAAAATCTTTAAAAAAAAAAATGTATAAAAAAACAAAAAAAAGAAATGGTTAATTTTATGTGAATTTTACCTCAATTGAAAAATTATCTTTCAGAGATATGTATTAAAGTATTTATAGAAAAATGGGGGGGAAAAGTAGACTTGAACAAATGGAAAGACATGTGCTGTCCTTGGATGGAACAACTCAACATTATAGAGGAGTACAGAAGTTGATTCTAAATTTCACAGAAAAACAAACGTGAAAGAATAGCTCCAAAAACACTGAAAAGGAAAACTTTGTGGAGGGACTAGTTCTACCAGACATTAAAACATTATATAAAGCCTCTATAATTAAAACAAACAGCATGGCACTTGTGCATGAATACACAAATAGAACTGTGGAATAAAATAGAAATAGACACAAGTACCTACAGAAATATAGTATAGATAAAGGTGGCATCTCAAATCATTGGGGTAAAGATGGACTTCTTAATAAAGGGTGCTGGGACAACTGGGTAGCTATTTGGAATTAGATAAATACCTCATACCATACAAAAAAGTAAACTCCAAATGGATTAGGAATCTAAATATTTAAAAAATGAAACAATATAAGTTATAGAAGAAGATATGGATGAATTTTTCTTTAACCTTGGCATAAGGAAAGGCTTTCTGACTATGACACAAAATTCAGAGGCAATAAAAGATTGATACATTTGACTGCATAAAATAATGTTTTTCATTTGCATGACAAAAACCACCATATAGAAAGTCAAAAGACAGCTGAAAAACTGGGAGAAATTTTTCACAACATACACAGACAGAAGGATAATATTCTTTGTATGTAAAGAACTCTTATAGAATTGAAGGCTCTGAAAAAAAAAATTGAGGGCTGTGTTTCCCTATCTTTATTTGGGAAAGAAGAATGGGGTGGGGATGCTGTCTAGGAGGATGGGGTTAGGATGGAGCAACCTAGACAACCTGTGGCTAGCAGGGAAAGACTTGGCCTGAAAAATCAAGGTGTTACGAGATGGCAGATGGGGGGCGCCGGGGTGGCTCAGTTGGTTAAGCGACTGCCTTCGGCTCAGGTCATGATCCTGGAGTCCTGGGATCGAGTCCCGCATCAGGCTCCCTGCTCAGCGGGGAGTCTGTTTCTCCCTCTGACCCTCCCGCCTCTCGTGCTCTCTCTTTCTCATGCTCTCTCTCAAATAAATAAATAAAATCTTTAAAAAAAAAAAAAAAGATGGCAGATGGGGTTGGCAAGGACCTGGCATGCAGCTGTATAGTACCTGGAGTCAGCAGCACCTACAGATGGATCCTGGATGCCTCTCAAGGTTGCTCACTGGATTTCTGGAAGGGGAATGGCGAGCTGAGAGGTCTCAGGAGGCAGGAACCACTTCTCAAACTGGCCTCCCAGGACACAGGAGTGGAGATGGTGGTTGGGGACAGCCCCCTGAGCCCCTGACCCTTGCTGCCATGGAACCTCCTGCCCATCTAGGCAGGCTCCTGGCCAACTGTAAGCTGGAGCAGTCCCACCAGCTCCCAACTTCCCCTGCCAGCGTGTCACAACACCACCACTCCCTGAAGCCAAGTGAGCCTGAATGTGAAGTGCCCCTTTTTGGAGCAAGGAAACAGGAGGCCACTGAAGCAGGAATTGACCTAGGAGCAGAAATTGACCTAGAGGCAGCCATGGGAAAAGCAGAGATGGTGCAGTACCTGGGGCCTAAACTAGGCAGAGTCTCCAATACCTGCAATACCTTTGCATAGTGCGGGAGCAGATGGCAAGGCTCCAGCAGCTCTACTTGCAACTGCAGACCCAGAGGCCCCCAGGGGGTCGTGAAGCAGAGGGGGAAAAGGAGCCAGCCCTGGCCCTTTCACCTCCACTTTGTGCCCCAGGCAATGAGGTGCACAGACTGCTCAGCCACACACAGGAGACCGCTTCACCCCTAAAGGTAGGGGTGCCTAGTGCCAACCCTCCCAGGCTGTTAGAGGCCCCAGCAGAGCCGCTTACATCTTTCCATCCTTCCAGGGACACAAGTGGGATCTCTTCCACTGGAACAAGACCAGTCCTGCTCAACCGGATCCTTTGGAGGAACCTGAGATACCTTGAGTCCCCTGCCCCTCCTGATGGCCCTGCCCCAAGGATTGAGTCAAGGGGTGTCCCTAAAAGACCTCCATGCCAGCCCCTCTGGAAGACCTTTATGCCATCATTTGTGGTTAAGCAACAAGCAAAAACCTTTCTGTATGCTGAGACTGGTACAGGGACATGACGCTGGGTGGAGGGGTGTTCGGTGAAGTCTTCTTCCTCGCCCTTTTCCCTGTTGCTGCTTCAGGGCACTGCCAGGAAAAGCTGCTGGTGCTCACCCTTCTCTCTGAGGAGAGGGCTGGATCTTTCTCCTCTGGGCAGCCTGGCAGAGGAGCCCTGGTTCCCTGAGAGGCCCCAAGGTATGAAATCCCTGGGCCTAGACAGTGTGAACTAGCTTATTTATCTGGAGTCCATGGAGCGTGTTTGGCATGGTGATCTGTTGGGGCCTAGAATATCACAGATGTGTATTTATTTAAATGATACATGTATCTTTGTGAGTCTGTCACTGTTGTGAACTGGCTGGATCCAACCATCTTTTCTGAATCCTACACTCAGCAGGTTGGTCTTCTGGGGGAGGTAACTGGAAGGATAGAACTGACCTTCATTCCTCAGTGGGCAGTTACTAATTTAGAGTCCTGCTTTCCTCATACCATCGTGGGCAGCCCCAGAACAGAGAAGGGTACTATCTTGGGTGCCTCTGCATGGAGTCTCTTGCCTGTGGAGCAGAGTCCCTGAAAACCAAACCTGGAATGGAAGGGTCAGGGACAACATGGAGAATAGCAGAGTAAGCTTCAAGGTCGGTCTTCAGCTGCTTTGATCTCTGATAGCCTTTACACATCAGAGCTGAAACCAGGGACTCATTCTAGCTTTTAGATCTTGACAAAATCCCTTAACTTTTCTGAGCCATAGCTTCCTGCTCAATCTCCCAAATGGTTTAATGATACCTGCCCTGCCTAATTCACAGTGTTGTTATGAAGATAAAACAAGATTAAACTGTTAAAAAAAAAAAAAATGAGGAACAAAGGACCAAAAAACTCTAGTAGAAAAATAGGAGAGACATGGACAGACAAATCACACACACCCCTTCAAAAAAAGCACTCGGACATACAAAAAAAGTTTAAAGTGATTAGAGAACTACAAATTAAAACAACATCAAGATACCATTTCTTATCTATCAGCCTGGCAAATTTTTTAAATTACAATACCACATTCTGTTGATGAGACTGTGGAAAAATACTCTTTTTTTTTTTTTAAAGATTTTATTTATTTGACAGAGAGAGACACAGCGAGAGAGGGAACACAAGCAGGGGGAGTGGGAGAGGGAGAAGCGGGCTTCCTGCGGAGCAGGGAGCCCGATGCGGGACTCAATCCCAGGACCCTGGGATCATGACCTGAGCCGAAGGCAGACGCTTAACGACTGAGCCACCCAGGCGCCCCAAGACTGTGGAAAAATACTCTTAACATTGCTAGTGGGGTGCAAATTGGTACAGCCCTTTTGGAGGAAAATTGGCCATACCTAACAATACTATGTATGCACTTACCTATTTTTTAAGATTTTATTTATTTGTTGGGGCGCCTGGGTGGCTCAGTTGGTTAAGCGACTGCCTTCGGCTCAGGTCATGATCCTGGAGTCCCGGGATCGAGTCCCGCATCGGGCTCCCTGCTCGGCAGGGGGTCTGCTTCTCCCTCTGACCCTCCCCCCTCTCATGTGCTCTCTCTCATTCTCTCTCTCTCAAATAAATAGATAAAATCTTAAAAAAAAAAAACGTTTTTATTTATTTGTCAAGGAGAGAGAGAGAGTACAAGCAGGGGGAGTGGCAGGCAGAGGGAGAAGCAGGCTCCCCGCTGAGCAAGGGGCCTGATGTGGGACTGGATCCCAGGACCCTGGGATCATGACCTGAGCTGAAGGCAGATGCTTAACCCACTGAGCCACCCAGGTGTCCCTGCACTTACCATTTGACCCAGCAGACCCACTTCTGGGCATCTACCCTGAAGGTACACCTTCAATATATATGAAAATATATACTGCACAGCATTGTTTACTGTGGCATTGTTTATAAAAGCAGAATATTAGAAGCAATCTAACTGCCTACATTAATGTGTGTGTGTGTGTATGAGGGTATTTGAAAAAATAGATTTATACAGTGGTATATTATACAGCTATAAAAAAAAAAGAATGAGAAATCTCCAAACTGATTTGGAATGAATTCCAGAATATAATGTTAATTGAAAAAAAAACCTGCAAAAAAGCAGAGTATAGAACTGTTCATATAAACAAGAGGACATAAGAAAATACAGATGTGGGGCACCTGCGTGCCTCAGTTGGTTAAGAACTGCCTTCCCCTGCTTGTGTTCCCACTCTCGCTGTCTCTCTCTATCAAATAAATAAATAAAATCTTTAAAAAAGAAAATACAGATGTATCTATATTCATTTATGCAAACGATATACAGGAAAGATAAACCAGAAATTGATCATTTACCTATGTGGAGTGAGTGGGGAAAGGGTGGAAAGAAGTTAATAGGAATGAAAAGGGAGCAACGCTTCTTGGAATGTTCCTTTTTGTATAGCTTTGACTGAGAATCATAGTAGTACCCCCTAAAATAAATATTTAAAATCAGACAGTGGAGGGGGCCCAAAATGGAAGTAATAACAAATAACCTAACTGTACTGCAAATGAATAGCATAGTTATTATTAAGTGTTAGGAGAGAAAAGAATTAACCTAAGTAACTTTGGAAAATAATATTTTGACTGCATATTTATTGTAAGATTAAAGTCAAAAAGAACTATATACAAAAATTGTCCTCCAGTTAATATGTCTGTTTTTCAAAAGAGTATGGGATAATAGTTCTGTAATTAGTTTACATGTATACTAAGATTGAAATGAGTAAGTCAATTTATTATAGAAAATGAGAGCCAGGGGCACCTGGGTGGCGCAGTCGGTTAAGCATCAGCCTCTTGGTTTTCCAGCTCAGGTCATGATCTCCGTTGTGATCTCAGGTCGTGAGATCAAGCCCCAAGTTGGCTCCATGCTTGGAGTTTCTCTCTCCCTCTCCCTCTGCCCCTCCCCTCTGCATGCTCGCGTGCACACACACACACACTCTCTCTCTCAAATAAATCTTTTTTAAAAAATGAGACCCAGATTTATCAATGGTAGAGAAAAAGTTACATCAGGAAAAGAAGAAAAGTAGGATGACCTTTGAGGTCATTGGATTGGCATCTGAGGTGTCAGTATATGGATGGATGGATGTATAGGCGTACGTTCACATACATATATTTCCTCGTGGGGTTCTCTGAGAGGGCTTAGGAACGAACAGTGATACCTCAGTAGCAATGAGCACAGCGAGCATCCAGATCTGGTTTTGAAATAGCATTCTCCAATAAAATAAGCACTAGGGATCCTTGGAGAAAAAGTTGATTCCAGGGCCTAAGGGAAAATACAAGATAAGCCTGGAATATCTTGTGATATCAGAAAAAAAGGCAGTACTGTAAAAAGGATGGCAGTGTATAGAAGTATATAGGAGCCAAATGAAAGGAGTGCCAATGGCCAAAGTAGAACAATTTGGAAAACTAAATAATGATAGTACTGGATTAAAACTATAGAATAAAATAAATAACATGAGTCTACACTGGTGTAAAGAAGTAATTGGATAAAGAAAGAAGAGACAGTTCTTCATTAGAAAAGAATTGCAATAAATAAGAGTAAAGAGAATAAAAGAAATACAAAAGCACCATTAATAATCACTGCAGACAGGATCTACAGGTGGGTACTAAAATCAGTGTGTCAAAGTTTAAAAAGAAATAGGATATTAGCATAATTTCAAAGTATCTCTCCCAAGATTTTTATCAATCACAAAGGGAAAAACAGTACCTATACAGTGAAGAAACCCAGTAGGTCCCACATTACCGTGATCACGGTTAACATTTCTAGTAATTTTTCAACATTAACTATTCCCTGATAGGATATACTGAGGACACAGCGTCACTTCTCTGATATTTTTGCCAAAAATGAATAACCTCAATATAATCGTGAGGAAACTAGGGTCAAATGCACATTGAGACATTCTACAAAGTAACTGATCATTACTCATCAGAAGTGTTCTGGTCATAAAAGGCAAGGAAAGAGAACCAGGGCAACGAGGGCTGCGGGCAGGAGCTGCAGGAGCCTGGGACCCAGCCGTGCCGCCTCATTACGATGACCAGCGTGGTTAAGACCATATACACTCTGCAACCCCCCGCTGTGCAGAGCGGCGGCCTGCCGGCAGACACACAAACTCGAGCCACTTCTAAGAGCCTATTACCCGTTAAGTCCAAAGAAGCGGATGTTTCCAGACTTCATTCAGGAGGTTCAGAGAATGATGTTACAAAAATCACCAAACCGAGACGAGAGAATAGGCAGGTAAAAGCTGCAGACACTGCCATGAGGAAGAACATCAGAAAGAGTTACAAACCGCTGAGTAAGCAGAAATCAGAGGAAGAGCTCAAGGATAAGAACCAGCTCTTAGAGGCCATCAACAAGCAGCTGTACCAGAAGTTGACTGAAACTCAGGGAGAACTGAAGGACCTGACCCAAAAGGTGGAGCTGCTGGAGAAGTTCCAAGACAACTGCTTGGCAGTTTTGGAGAGCAAGGGCCTCAACCCAGTTTTAGGCAGTGAGACCCTGGCATCACAGCGGGAATCTGCCGCAGATCACACAGACTCCATGTTGCTGTTAGATACTTTGCAAGATGAGCTGAAGTTCTTTAACGAAACGGCCAAAAAGCAGACGGAGGAGTTACAGGCCTTAAAAGTCAAGTTGAAGATGAAAGAAGAAGAGAGGGCCCGGTTCCTAGAACAGCAGACTTTATGTAACAGTCAAGTAAATGATTTTACAGCAGCCCTGGAGGAAATGGAGCAGCTATTAGAAATGTGATAAAAAGCAAGTGACCAGATGGCTCCCACAGGGGAAGCCACTCAGGACATCTGCTTGGCCATGACCTTCTAGGACTCACCATCCCCAGAATGGAGACATTTGCTGCAGTAGGATTAAGGACAGTCTATGCTAGAATGGTGCTTCCTCCTTCAGGCAAGCGAACGCCACCCTCAGACTGGTGGGTTCCCCCGAACCTCACACACACATAATCAAGGCCGACAAGAGGGGGAGGTGCGAAAGCTTGGATCGACCTGCTAGGCAACAAAGCAGCAGGCCATTAGAATCAGGAGACCAAACCAGCCACAGCCAGAGGATCCCAAAGGTCACATTCAGATGTGTAGGAAGAAAACCTTAATTGTGCAGTTGGAGTGCAGAGGTTCCATGGGAGACATCAGTGGGAAGTGATCCTATCCCCTTCTAACTTGGAACACATTCTGTCTCATCCTGGTTGGGCTCTAGACCTCATTGTAAGTTAATGAACGTGAAGTTATTGAAATGGCTTAATAAATGGGGTGAGGGTATAGATAGCAGTAACACCTATCTGAAATAATACACCTTGGAGCTTTTAGTCTTAAAAAAAAAAAAAAAAGACAAGGAAAGAATGAAAGAATGTCATGCATTGGAGGAAACTGAAGAGACATGACAACCAAGTACATTGTGGGGTCTTGGATTGGATCCTGAAACAGAGAAGGGACAGTAAGGGGGAAAAAAACTGGTGAAATTCTAACCAAGTCTGTAGTTTATAGTATTACACCCATGTTAGTTTCTTGGTTTTGATCACTGAACCACAGTTGTGTTGTAAGTTGTTAATATCAGAGGAATGTGGGGTGCCTGGGTGGCTCAGTCGTTAAGCGTCTGCCTTCGGCTCAGGTCATGATCCCAGGATCCTGGGTTCGAGCCCCGCATCGGGCTCCCTGCTCAGCAGGAAGCCTGCTTCTCCCTCTTCCACTCCCCCTGCTTGTGTTCCCTCTCTTGCTATGTCTCTCTCTCTGTGTCAAATAAATAAAATCTTAAAAAAAAAAAAAATATCAGGAATGTGGGTAAAGGATATGCATGAACTCTATGTACTATTTGTCACCTCTTTAAGTCTAGGAATTATTTCAAAATAAAACATTTTAAAAAATATAGACATAGATCATGGGGCACCTGGGTAGCTCAGTCCATTAAGCTTCCAACTCTTGATTTTGGCTCAGGTCATGATCTTAGGGTCATGAGATCGAGCCCCGAATTGGGCTCTGCACTGAGCATGGAGCCTGCTTAAGATTCTGTCTCTCCCTCTCCCCCTCTCCCTCCCTCCCTCCCTCTCAAAAAATAAAAAGAGAGAGAGAGAGACACAGATTATTTTCAGTAGCTTTTAACCTGTTTACTTGGATAAGCCTTGAATATGAAACACTGCATGGGTGACTTTTTCTTGGTATTAAGCTTTTCTATTTGTATAAATATCCTTTGGATGGCTATTCCAGTGGAATCCAATTGTGATAGTTAGAATTTACCATGGAAGGTAACTTTAGGGACGCCTGGGTGGCTCAGTCAGTTAAATGTCTGCCTTCAGCTTGGGTCATGATCCCAGGGTCCTGTGATGGAGTCCAGCGTTGGACTCTTTGCTGAGCAGGGAGCCTGCTTCTCCCTCTGCCTACCACTCCCCCTGCTTGTGCTCTCTCTCTTTCTCTCTGACAAATAAATAAAATCTTTAAAATTTTTTTAAATTAAATTAAAAAAAGAAGAAAGTAACTTTAGTTACAGAGATAGGAAAGCCAAACAGTGTACTCATTATGAGTGATAAAAATAATAATAGCGCAATAACTGATTTTTTACAGTGTACTTATGGTGGGCAATACAAATAATAGCACAATATATGATTTTATTTTAGTTACAGAATTTTTTAAAGATTTTAAATTTAAAGGCAGATACTTAACTGACTGAGCCACCCAGGCGTCCCAGTTACAGAATTTTTATTTCTCTTATGGAAAGAACTTTTAAGATCTATTCTCTTAGCAACTTCCAAATATACAATACAGTATTAACTATAGTTGACATGTTGTACATTCCTTCCCCATGACTTACTTATTGTATAACTGGAAGTTTGTACCTTTTGACTCCATCCATTTTGGCCCTCTCCTCCCTACCCACCCCTCCCACCCCCCATCTCTGGCAAACACACACACACACACACACACACACACACACACACACACCGTTTTCTTTATCCATTCGTTAGTCAGTGGACATTTAGTTTGTTTCCGAATTTTGGCTATTGTAAATAAGGATGCAGTGGACATGGGGGTGCATATATCTTTTCAAGTTAGTGTTTTTGTTTCTTTGGATAAATACCCAGAAGTGAAAATGCTGGATCATATGGTAGTTCTATTTTTAATTTTGGGGGGAGCCTCCATACTGTCTTCCACAGTGGCTGTACCAGTTTACATTCCTGCCAGCAGTGCACCAAGGATTCTTTTTTCTCCACATCCTCACCAACACTTGTTATTTCTTATCTTTTTGGTAATATAATAGTATCCTAACAGATGTGAGGTGATATTTCATTGTGGTTTTGATTTGCATTTTCCTGATAGTGATGTTGAGCATCTGTATGTCTTCTTTGGAAAAATGTCTATTTAGATCCTCCAGTTTTTAATTGGATTGTTCTTTTGCTGTTGGGCTGTGCGTGTTCTTTATACACTGGATATTAACCCCTATCAGACACATGATTTGCAAAAATTTTCTCCTATTCAGTAGGTTGCCTTCTCATTTTGTTGATTTCCTTTGCTGTGCATCAGCTTTTTAGATGTACAGGCACACTCTGGAAACATTGTGGGTATGGTTCCAGATGACGGCAATAAATCAGATATTGCCATAAAGCGAGTCAAATGAATTTTTTGGTTTCCCAGTGCATATTAAGGTTATGTTTACACTGTATTCTGTTAAAGTGTGCAGTAACATTATGTCTAAAAAACAGTATACTTATCTTAATTAAAAATACTTTATTCCTAAAAGATGCTGATCATCATCTGAGCTTTTAGCAAGTCAATCTTTGCTGGTGGAGGGTCTTGCCTTGATGTTGATGGTTGCTGACTGATCAGGGGACTGATTGCTGAAGGTTGGCGCAGCTATGGCAATTTCTTAAACTAAGACTACAATGAAGTGTGTCACATCAGTTGATTCTTCCTTTCCCAAATAATTTCTCTGTAGCATGCGATGCTGTTTGACAGCATTTTACCTACAGTAGAACTTCTTTCAGAATTGGAGCCAATCCTCTCAAACCCTGCCACCGTTTTAGTAACTCTGTATATTATTCTAAATCCTTTGTTGTCATTTCATAGATCTTCACAGCATTTTCACCAGTAGATTCCATCTCAAGAATCCACTTCCTTTGTTCATCCATAAGAAGTAACCCCTCATCCATTAAAGTTTATCATGAGATTGTAGCAATTTCAGTCACATCTTTAAGCTCCACTTCAAATTCTAGTTCTCTCACCATTTCCACCACATCTGCACTTACTTCCTCCCCTGAAATCTTGAGCCCTTCAGAGTCATCCATGAGAGTTGGAATCAACTTCTAAACCCCTGTTAATATTGGTATTTTGATCTCTTCCCATGAATCACGAATATTCTTAATGGCATCTAGAATGGTGCTTTCCAGAAGCTTTGCAATTTGCCCAGATTCATCACAGGAATCACTATGTATGGCAGCTATAGCTTTACAAAATGTATGTCTTTTTTTTTTTAATAGATTTTTTTATTTATTAGAGAGAGGGTGAGAGCATGAGCAGGGGGAGGGGCAGAGGGAGAAGCAGACTCCATCGCTGAGCACGAAGGCCAACGCAGGGCCCAATCCCAGGACCCTGGGATCATTATCTGAGCCAAAGGCAGTTGCTTAATTGACTGAGCCACCCAGGCGCCCCTCAAAATGTATTTCTTAAATAGTAAGATTTGAAAGTCAAAATTACTCTCTGATTCTTTTTTTAAAGATTTTTTTTTTTATTTGGCAGAGAGAGATACAGCGAGAGAGGGAACACAAGCAGGGGGAGTGGAGAGGGAGAAGCAGGCCTCCTGCCGAGCAGGGAGCCCGATGCGGGGCTCGATCCCAGGACCCTGAGATCATGACCTGAGCCGAACTGACTTAACGACTGAGCCACCCAGGCACCCCTCCTCTTTGATTCTTATGCTACAGACTGGATGTTGTGTTAGCAGGCATAAAACATTAATCTCGTTGGGCATCTCCATTAGAACTCTTGGGTGACCAGGTGCATTGTCAGTGAGCGGTCATATTTTGAAAGGAATCTTTTTTTTTTCTGAGCAATAGGTCTCAACAGTGTGCTTAAAATATTCAGTAAACGAAGTTATAAACAGATGTGCTGTCATCCAGGCTTGTTCCATTTATAGAGCACAAGCAAAGTAGATTTAGCATAATTCTTAAGGGCTATAGGATTTTCAGAATAGTAAATGAGCACTGGCTTCAATTTAAAGTCACCGGCTACGTGAGCCCCTAACAAGCAAGTCAGCCTGTCCTGTGGGACTTTGAAGCCAGGCACTGACTTCTCTTTAGATGTGAGAGTCCTAGATGCCATCTTCCAGTATGATGCTGTTTTATCTACATTGACAATCTGTTGTTTAGTGTAGCCACCTTCATGAATGATCTTAGCTAGACCTTCTGAATCACTTGCTGTAATTTCTGCATCAGCACTTGCTTCAGCTTGCATTTTTATGTTATGGAGACGGCTTCTCTCCTTAAGCCTCATGACCCAACCTCTGCTCCTTCAAACTTTTCTTCTTCAGCTTCTTCATTTCTCTCAGCCTTCATAAAATTGAAGAGAGTTAGGCCCTTGCTTTGGATTAGGTTTTGGCTTAAGGGAATGTTGTGGCTGGTTTGATCTGTCTGGGCCACTAAAACTTTCTCCATATCTATAATACTGTTTTGCTTTCTTACCATTTGTGTGTTCACTGGAGTAGCACTTTTAATTTCATTCAAGAACTTTTTCTTTGTATTTACAACTTCGCTGACTGGCGCAGGAGGCCTAGCTTTCAGCTTCTTTTGGTTTTGGACATGGCTTCTTCACCAAGCTTTTTAAAGTGTGACACATGTACCTCTTCCTTTCACTTGAACACTTAGAGGTTATTGTATGGTTATTAATTAGCATAATTTCAATATCATTGTGTCTCAGGACTAGGGACACCCAAAGAAAGGGAGAAAGAAGGGGAAACAGCCAGTTAGTAAGCAGTCATAATACAACATTTATTATTAAATTCACTATCTTATATGGACACAGTTTGTGTTGCTGCAAAACAGTTACAATAGTAACATCAAGGATCATTGATCACAGATCACTGTAACAAATGTAATAATAATGACAAAGTTTAAAATATTATGAGAATTACCAAAATGTGTCACAGAGACACAAAGTGAGCAAATGCTGTTGAAAAAAATGGCACCAGTAAACTTGCTCAACACAGGGTGGCCCCAGACCTTCAATTTGTAAAAAACTCAGTATCTACAAAGTACAGTAAAGCAGGGTACAATAAAACAGGTATGCCTGTAGTCACATATTTGTTTTTGCTTTTGTTGCCTTTGCTTTTGGTGTTAAATCCAGAAGACCATTGCTAATATTTCAGGGAACTTACCACCTATGTTTTCTTCTAGAAGTTTTATGGTTTCAGGTCTTACATTCAAGTCTTTTAAGCTCTTTTTAATTAGTTTTTGTATATGGTGTAAGATAGAGGTCCAGTCTCATTCTTTCGCAAGTGGCTGTCCAGTTTTCCGAACACTATTTATTGAAGAAACTGTCCTTTTCCCCATTGTATATTCTTGACTTCTTTGTCATAAATTAATTGACCATAGGTTTATTTTGGGGCTCTCTTCTGTTCCATTAATCTGTGTACCTTTATGCCAGTTACATACAGTTTTGATTACTATAGCTGTGTAAATTAATCTGAAATCAGGGATGTCTCCAGCATTGTTCTTGCTCAATATTGCTTTGGCTATTTGGGGTTTCTCGTGGTTACAAATTTAAGGATTGTTCTATTCCTGTGAAAAATGCCATTTGATTTTGATAGGGATTGCCACAATAACTGCTTTTTAAAGTTTTTACCGTGTGTCATGTATTGTTCTCACAGGATTGCTTGGTAACTTGATACCGACTGTTGTCCTTATTTTGTAGATGAGGAAAAGGGGATTTAGAAATAACTTGCCTAAATTCAGACATAGTAGGATTTGAGCCTAAACTTGCCTAATTCCAGAATCCATGCTCTTAACCTCACTGATCTATAGCTCCCTCCAAAAGGGAATGATGCACCTGTTGTAACCTGATCGCCTACCACAACCAAACACATCTGAAAACCTACCATTCATTCTCTCGAACAGTGCTGTCCAATAGGAATATAATGTGAGTCACAGGTGAAATTTTAAATTTTCTAAAAGCAATGTATTGAAAAGGTAAGACAAACAGGTAAAAATAATTTTTAAAACTGTATTCATTTAACCTAATGTGTGTAAAGTATCATTTCAATATGTAATCAGTGTAAACATTACTACAATATTTTGCATTATTTTGTTTTCATACTAAGTTTGTAGTTTGGTGTGTATTTTACATTTATAGCACATGTCAGTCCTCACTAGGCCCATTTCAGGTAGCATAGAGCCACTTGGATGTAATGGCTACCATGTTGGATAGCACAGCCCTAGAATGTGAAATGTGACAATTAAGATGTACTCCTGGTCTTACATTCTTCTTCCTCATTTGACAGTAGACTCCTTTGCAAGTGTAAATTAGATCTAATTTTTTTTTTAAAGGTTTTTTTAAAATTTTTATTTATTTGACAGAGAGAGACACAGCGAGAGAGGGAACACAAGCAGGGGGAGTGGGAGAGGGGGAGGGAGAAGCAGGCTTCCCACAGAGCAGGGAGCCCGATGTGGGGCTCAGTCCCAGGACCCTAGATCATGACCTGAGCCGAAGGCAGATGCTTAACGACTGAGCCACCCAGGCACCCCAGATCTAATTTTTTTTTTTAATTTTTGTAGTAAAATATACTTAACATAAAAGTTACCATTTTAACCATCTTTAAGTACACACAGTTCAATGGCATTTAATACATTCACATTGTTATACAAGTGTCACCACCATCCAGTCCCATAATTCTTTTCATCTTGTAAAAGTGAAACTCTGTAAACCCATTAAATAACTCCCAGTTTTCCCCTCCCCCACCCCCTGGCAACCTCTGTTACACTTTCTGTATTTATGATTTTGACTACTCTTAAGTACCTCATATCAGTAGAATCATACAGTATTTGTCCTTTTGTGACTAATGTATTTTGTTTAGCATAATGTCCTCAAGGTTCACCTATTTTAGCAGTGGTAGCATATTGCAAAATTGTCCTTCCTTTTGGAGGCTAAATGATATTCAGTTTTATGTATAATACCACATTTTATCTGCTCATCTGTGGATGGACATTCGGGTTGCTTCCATCTTTTGGCTATTATGAATAATGCTTGTGCTTGCTCTCTCTCTCTGTCAAATAAATCAATAAAATCTTAAAAAAAAAAAAAGATTATCTTGGCTATTTGCGGTCCCTTGAGATTCCATATGAATTTTGGGGTAAGTTTCTGTTGCTGCAAAAAAACATCACTGAGATTTTTTTATATGGATTGCATTGAAGGATCTAAATTTTAATGTGGGAGTAAGCGTTGCTTATAAGTCTCTCAATATGCATTTCAAGTTTACTGCTCACATTGCTTATTGGAAGCTGTTTACTTTTTTTTTTTTTTAAGATTTTATTTATTTATTTGACAGAGAGAGACATAGTGAGAGAGGGAACACAAGCCAGGGGGAGAGGGAGAAGCAGGCTCCCTGCCGAGCAGGGAGCCCGACGCAGGGCTTGATCCCAGGACCCTGGGACCACGACCCCAGCCAAAGGCAGATGCCTAACAACTGAGCCAGCCAGGCGCCCCGGAAGTGTTTACTTCTAACAGTTACATTTTTAGGACTAAACCTGTTAAAGCCAGATTTTCTTAGACTTAATTATCTCTTATCTGGTAGTGTATATCAGAGCAACTCCTGAAATCTCGCCTATTAATTTGTCTTTGGGGTTAGATAGTACTGGTTTTCAGTTAGCTACTGCATTCATTGGTCTAAGAGGGAGGTGTTGCCATCTTGGAAGAGAAGATGGCTGGAAGATGCTATGCAGTGATTGGAGAAAATGAGAGCGCTGGAACTAGTTACTGTGAGCAGCCATGTCCTGCAGGCCAACCTGTTTCTCTTCCTTAGAAGAACCAATCTTAGCAGTTATCAGCACTTTTATTTATTTATTTATTTATTAAAGATTGTATTTATTTGACAGAGAGAGAGCACAGGTAGGCAGAGTGGCAGGGAGAGGGAGAAGCAGGCTCTCCGCTGAGCGGGGAACTGGACACGGGGCTCAGTCCCAAGACCCCAGGATCATGACCTGAGCCGAAGGCAGCCACTTAACCGACTGAGCCACCCAGGCGCTCCAGTTATCAGCACCTTTTTTTTTTTTTTAAGATTTTATTTATTTATTTGACAGAGCAAGAGCACAAGCAGGGGGAACAGTAGAGGGAGAGGGAGAAGCAGGCTCCCCCACAAGCAGGGAGCCCGATGTGGGGCTTGATCCCAGGACCCTGGGATCATGACCTGAGCTGAAGGCAGATGCTTAACCATCTGAGCCACCCAGGTGCCCCGAGCACTTTTTTTTTTTTAAGATTATATTTATTTATTTGAGAGAGAGCATGAGAGGGGGGAGGGTCAGAGGGAGAAGCAGACTACCTCCTAAGCAGGTAGCCCGATGTGGGACTCGATCCCGGGACTCCAGGATCATGACCCGAGCCAAAGGCAGTTGCTTAACCAACTGAGCCACCTATGTGCCCCGCCCCAAGCACTTTTAAAAACAATAAATCAATCTCCTTCTGAAATTTTTCTTGTTGGCATCAGGGTTAAAGCTCAGTATATTCCTATGGCTTTCCTGGGTGCTTTTACTCACAATAAAATTTTCTCTTTCAGAATTTGGTGTTCACCTGGCAGAGCTGACTGTAGATCCCCAGGGAGCACTGGCAATCCGTCAGGTAATTCCAGACTGATTGGCCCAATTTATAAGTAATTTCCCTTTTACTTGGTAATGAAACTTTCTTATTGGAAAAAGAAAGAATTAATGCCAGTTTACAAATAACCTAGGATTTTGTACTAGATTTAGATATACTTCAAATGAATGTATCAGGCTATGTATATGTATATGATTTTTATATATGAAAAAAGTCTTTTTCTTGCTGTCCTGCTTGGCTTGTTCTCTTTGCAGCTGGCATCAGTCATCTTGAAGCAGTATGTGGAGACTCACTGGTGTGCCCAATCAGAGAAGTTTAGGCCTCCTGAAACTACAGAAAGGGTAAGGAGAATTATTTGATTAGTCTTCCTATAGAGATTTGAGGAGCCTTCTTAAGATACTGAGCTGTCACTGTTGTGTGACAACATGGGGCAATCAAAAGACTAGGCAGAAAAGATCGATTGGTAGCTGACATTATGGGCAACATGCTGTAAGTAAGAGAGCTCCTGTATCAGGCTGACCTGTGTTCAAATTCCAGTTCTGCCTTTTACTAGCTATGAAAATACTAGAAAAGTACTTTAACTTCTTAACTTCAGTTTCCTAAATATCTAAAATTAGAATTAAAATTTCGACTCCAAAGAATTGTTTGAGGATTAAATGAGATAATGTTTCTGCTTGGTACAGCACTATGCAGCCATTCTGGGCCCCCAAGAAATTTTGAGTATAGGGTCTAGGGCAGCGCTGTCCACTGGAACTTTCTGCAGGTACGGAAATATTCTGTATCTGTGCTGTCTGGTGCAGTAGCTGCTGGCTGTATGTGGTGTCGAGCACTTAAAATGTGGCTGGTGAACCTGAGAAGCTGATTTTTTTACTTCATCTCATTTTCATTAATTTAAATTTAAAGGACCACAGGTAGCTGCTGTAATGGACAGGTAAGTTTAGGGATCAAAGATGAACAAGTTTGTGTGTTGGAGTTTTTGATATGCAGTACCTTACACACGTTGTTTTTCCAACACATAAACTGGATAGCACTCTGCCAGTCACTTACAACCTGGTCTAATGGCAAGTGGGCTTTTCTCCTCTGCAGGCAAAAATTGTTATCCGGGAGCTATTGCCCAACGGGTTGAGAGAATCAATAAGTAAGGTGCGCTCCAGTGTGGCCTATGCAGTGTCAGCCATTGCTCACTGGGACTGGCCCGAAGCCTGGCCCCAGCTCTTCAACCTGCTCATGGAGATGTTGGTGAGCGGAGATTTAAATGCAGTCCATGGAGCCATGCGAGTGCTGACAGGTATCAGAAGTTTTTCCCTGGTGTTCGTACTTGGATCCCAAGACACTTATGAGATGTGATGGAATGGCTCTGACCGATAGGAATTGATATTTATAGCTCTTCGTGATGCTGCTCCTCCCTAGTTTTTATCTCCGTGTCTATCCTCCCGCTCCATTGATTCTTTCCAGGGAATTAAGCTGGTATAGTATTTCTACTACTATGAAACCTTAACCATTTAAGGATAGAGTAATCGCATAGTAGTTAAGGAGTCAGATTTCGCTTCATATTCTGGTTTTACCTTGACCCAAGTTACTTAGTCTCTTGAGCTTGCGTTTCCTTGTATATAAAATGAAGATAATGGTAGTGTTTACCTGAAGGGGTCTTTTGGTAATTTTAAATAAGCTAAATGTACATAAATTGTTTAGCATAATAACTGACATGAGGTAAGCACTCTAAATTTTAGCCATTATGGTAATTATCATTATTATATTAATTTTCTACTTAGTTCAACCAAGGCAAATTTAAGAACAGTCAAATAAAATTTTTATAGGAATGTAAGAAAGAAGATAAAAACAGTGTAGCTATGTAATTCTTACCTTCGTTTGGTCAGCTTAGAGAATGTAGCATTTGGTATCTTTTCTTTCTTTCTGTTCTAAGAAGGTGATAAAAATATTCACAGAAAAATACTTTTAGTCGGGTACCTGGGTGGCTCAGTCGTTAAGCATCTGCCTTCGGCTGGGGTCATGATCCCAGGGTCCTGGAATCGAGCCCTGTATCGGGCTCCCTGTTCTGCAGGAAGCCTGCTTCTCCCTCTCCCACTCCGCCTGCTTGTGTTCCCTCTCTCGCTGTCTCTCTCTCTGTCAAATAAATAAAAATAAAATCTTAAAAAAAAAAAACACTTTGTCTAAGGAGATTTGGTGGATATCTCATCTAAGCTTGATTAATCTGTTAATCTCTCACAGAACATAGAACCCAAAACCTGAATTTCCCAGTCTTGAGAGTTCTGCCCTGCTTCCCAATCCCCTAGATGAAGGCTTTACTGTTTTGCCTTCAAGGAATCCTTATCTGGATATTAGCCACCTTCTGTTGATCTCTTAGAAATTGTATTTCCCCGGGCGCCTGGGTGGCTCAGTTGGTTAAGCGACTGCCTTCGGCTCAGGTCATGATACTGGAGTCCCTGGATCGAGTCCCGCATCGGGCTCCCTGCTTGGCAGGGAGCCTGCTTCTGCCTCTGACCCTCCCCCTTCTCATGTGCTCTCTCTCATTCTCTCGGTCTCAAATAAATAAATAAAATCTTTAAAAAAAAAAGAGTATTTCCCCTCAGTTCATACAGACTTGTGAAATGTCTGTCTATATCTCATCTCTTTCTCTGTGCCCTGCTAGCTTACCTGAAATGTATTCCTACCTAGTTAGGAATGCCATTTCTTTTTTTTTTTTTTTAAGATTTTATTTATTTATTTGACAGAGGGAGAGAGCGAGAGAGGGAACACAAGCAGGGGGAGTGGGAGAGGGAGAAGCAGGCTTCCCGCTGAGTGGAGAGCCCGATGTGGGGCTCAATCCCAGGACCCCGGGAACCTGAGCCAAAGGCAGACACTTAACGACTGAGCCACCCAGGCGACCCCCTTTTTTTTTTTTTTAAACTCTCAGTTTATTGAACTTGGCATCTGGTCCCAGTTTTACTTGTCTTTGTTCTGTTGATGGTAGATAACGTCAATTCTCTGTCCAAAAGCAAACTCATCATCTTTTGTTTTCAACCTCATCTTCCCATGTCCTGGCTGCCTTTTTGAACTACCCGCTTTATTCCTATTGCTTATCTTTGATAGGTGCTTGGGGTATAGAGCAGACTTACCAAAAAGATCAAAACATTCCTTGTTCAGGTTTTCACTTCCCTGCTCATTACTTCCCTTACTTCTCTTGTATGACTCATTGTTCAGGTGATTTCATGTACCCCTCTCTGTGGAATCAGCCACCTAGGATTCTTTATTTACAATTTGATGGTGCCAGAATATCAGTTAACAGATATGTCTTCTACCAAGGAAAAGAAGTATGTTCCCCTCCAGTCTTCCAACACAAAGTTCAGCTTTTTTAAAAACCTGGAGGGGCGCCTGGGTGGCTCAGTCGTTAAGCGTCTGCTTTTGGCTTAGGTCATGATCCCAGGGCCCTGGGATAGAGCCCCGCATCGGGCTCCCTGCTCAGCAGGAATCCTGCTTCTCCCTCTCCCCCTCCCCCTGCTTGTGTTCCTGCTCTCGCTATCTCCCTCTCTGTCAAATAAATAAATAAAATCTTAAAAAAAAAAAAAAAACCTGAAGGAGAGGGCGTCTGGGTGGCTCAGTTGGTTAAGCGACTGCCTTCAGCTCAGGTCATGATCCTGGAGTCCTAGGATCAAGTCCCACATCAGACTCCCCGCCGAGCGGGGAGTCTGCTTCTCCCTCTGACCCTCCTCCCTCTCATGCTCTCTCTGTCTCATTCTTTCTCTCTCAAGTGAATAAATAAAATCTTTAAAAAAAAAAAAAAACTGAAGGAGAAAGACGGTTGTACATTTATCATAGTTGGAATACTGTAGAACCATCATTGTGCTTGACTAAGGAAATCACTGTTCAGTGAGATCACTTTTCTGTCAGCCACAGGGAAAGAACTATGGGGGAAATGGGTATTGTTTTATATTGCAGTCAGCAGACACAGGATGGATAGCTGCCAACCTCCATTCCCAGATAGCTGCTCCACATATTTTCAGATGAGGATAGATGGTGCTCTCACAACAGCAACTAGGCGTGCGTGAAGATGGCAGGACATGGTGTATGGACAGGAGCCCAGTAGGAGAATGGGACTGATTCTCTGGGGTTTTTTTTAAGATACTATATACTTTTTTAAGCCTTTAGTAAGTTTTCGTTAAGCTTATCTATTTGTAAATGAGAACTAACTAACACTAATGGTGTGAAGGAAATGCAAACATAGCAGCTAAGGATTGAAATATTTGACCACAGGTATAGGTTTGTTTTTTTTTTTTTTTTTAACCTCAAAGAAGTTCGGAGATTAAGATCTTTCCAGTGCCCCACACCTTTTCTGACTTGCTGAATGACCTCAGAAAACTTATTTTGGACTTGAGCTTATAAAATGTTAATCAGTTGGGACTACTAGGAATGATTATAGGAGAGTAAAAAATGTGATTAAGCACTTTATTAGTAGAATTAAGCTAACCTGCATTTTTTATAAAACTTGTTTTCATTAATATGCTATTCATCACATTTGTTTGGACTAATTTCTTTGGATTTCTGGATGAAATAAGAACACTCATTTTAGTCACAGTTCAGAATTTATTCTTCAGGAGGAACCCAAGCTAGTAAAGAAGACTCAGTAATGAATATATGATCTTCATTTGACTTCTGGTGATTGATATTGCCCAATTTTGTGGGGTATATTAACCTTGAAAGTGCCGACATGCATTTCTAGTTGTAGATCCTCCTGAAAAATGTCCCGGGTAATTAGCTCCATTTCTGTAGTGATAATGTGGAATTGCCAGGAAAAGCAGCAGATAAAGTGAACAGACACTGGAACTCAAGGGCTTGTATTCCACAGAATAGTAACATGAACCCCAGGGTCCTTCATGCTGTTTCAATGCCTTGTGCGGAAAGTGAAGAGAAAGACACGACCCCTATTTCCCTTACCTTCTTCAAGTCTCATTTCATGAATAGGTTGCTTTTTGCCACATTCATATGGTAATCCCTTCTGTTCCAATGAGCGGCAGCCTCTGACTTCTAGGTCAATAAATGTCATTCACTGGCAAGAGTAACATAAACAGAGTGGAGTTGAGCCTACTAAGCCTGCGTATATTTTATTGTGTGCATCGAAACAACTCACCAAGGGAGAATATTGAAAATGGAACCAAAGGTAAGACACCTTGAAGTGCACCTGGATGTTGACGATCAGGCATAAATTAGATTAATACAGGATTTCCCTAAGGTGACCTCACAAGGACTTTTACACAGCTCTTACAGATTTTCTTTCAATATGTTTTTTTTCTTTTTTTCAATCTTTATATAATAAAGGTTTTTTTCTCAGTCTTAGGTAATTTCCTTTATCTTTGAACTGTTCTCTTCCCCCTTCTAACAAATAATAACTCTTGCACCTTTTCCTTCCCCAGGATAAGACCATCAGGCCAATGTCTTTACCGGTATGCTATCTGCTTGGGAACCGCCACCTAGAAGCAGTTTGAAAATTTTCCCACTTACATCTTTATAAAGCACTGTTTTTTTTATAGTACTCCTTTTTCCTCTATAGAATTCACTCGAGAAGTAACAGACACACAGATGCCCCTTGTTGCTCCAGTCATTCTTCCAGAGATGTATAAGATCTTCACTATGGCCGAGGTATGAAATCTCAGCTCTAAGATCCCAGCGAGTAAGAGCTGCTCAGGTTCTGGTCAGCCTCCACATCTCCTGTGGGAAACTGTTTTGTTTGCTGCCTATCCCCATACCTGAAGACCAGAACTGACGGAGATCTGAATCTGGATTAACCTTAGATCTTTCACTTATAACTGCGAGGGCAGAAATATATATATATATTTCATTCTCTTTGATGAGAGAATGAAACAGCATCTGCATTGTTTCTTCACATATCTCCTACCTCCTGGCATCCTGCAACCCCTGAGTACCTACTGCTTTGTGTTACCTCTAGCCTCTTGTCGAGGCAGCCCACCTAAGCTTGTTCACCTCAGTTAAGTGTGTGCAAAGCAATCCATCACTGCATTGCCCATAATAGGCTTGTAATATGTATACAGTATAAATAAACTGTGAGTGCCTAATGGGTAATGTTTTAACCTCCCCATTCCTCTCTGCCACCAGCCAAGGGTCTGTCTTTTGAAAGAAATATGTTGACTGTGTTGAGATTTCAAGCAGCACCCAGCCTAATATTTTTAATCAAATCAGCCCACAGAGGCCTACATATAAGGCTAATTCCACTGAGTTCTAACATTCTGCTGGCTTTTATTCTCTGAATTATGGAAGAAGTCTGTCCTGGATATGAGTAGATGATGTTTCCCTTCTCTAGGGAATCCAGTCCCATGTCAGGATTCAGAAGTCATAGGTTTTCTTCTAGTCACAGACATGCAGACACAGACATGCCTATCTCATGGCTATGCTGTAACTTTTCACAGGTGTATGGTATTCGGACCCGTTCCCGAGCTGTGGAGATTTTTACCACTTGTGCCCATATGATCTGTAACATGGAGGAACTGGAAAAGGTAAGGAAGCCTTTGGGTTAGTAACAGACTTTATGCTTAAAAATCTCTATGCCTTCCATTAGAGGCGTAGCAGTGACTTACTTCAGTAGTACCAGAATGCACCCTGATTTAATCAGAGTTGTGGATGCATTTAGCACTTTGATTACATTTTTCATTTGTATATAGTTTAGCTTCCTTTTGTTTAAGCCATATTTCTTCAACCACCTTACCTTGCATCTTTTCATATGAGCCACTGCCCAGAACTCCACTCTCTTATGGCCTCTCACGTGAGACGAAGCTATAAAAAACGCCAACCCCTGTCATTCAGAAGCAGTTTTGAAAAGTTGGTCTTATATATATAATAGCTTTTAAGAAGGCCATGATGAGGAACTGCAGGGGTTAGAGAAGAAAACCTGAAATTTTGGGTAACACCTCCAGTGACTTTATGGCTGCACTCTTCTGATTGGAACCCGAGCCGGAAGAAATCTTTAGGTGCCTCAGATCTGTGTTATGATATTTGATATGTGTAGTGAAGCCACTGATTAGTGGTATGTCCAGTATTGATTTTGGTTTCTGTTATCAGGGTGCAGCCAAAGTTCTGATCTTTCCTGTGGTGCAGCAGTTCACAGAGGCCTTTGTTCAGGCCCTCCAGATACCAGATGGCCCTACATCTGACAGTGGATTTAAGATGGAAGTCCTAAAGGTAAACATTTACTACTGTTGAGATACTTGGAGTTTTAGAAGGTGGTCTGAAATCATTGGTTTTTCTCCTATATCACGTGTAACTCTTAGATCTTTTTCTTTGTAATTTCTCAGGCAGTGACAGCCCTGGTGAAAAACTTCCCAAAGCACATGGTGTCCTCCATGCAGCAGATTCTGCCTATTGTTTGGAACACCCTAACTGAGAGTGCAGCTTTATATCCTTTTCAGAAAGCTTAAGGGACCTGCTACCACCCGTAGTCGGGAATCTAGCATTAGGTCTTGCATTCATGTGGTTCCATTTTTTTAAATGAGTTTTTTAAAGTATCAACTCTTAGGGTTGGAATGTTATACATTCCCTTGTACAATATATGTAAAGCAGACTCCAAATTCTGTTTCTTTACTCTTCATCATACTTATGTGAGGACAGAAGTAAATTACACAGAGGAAGTTGAAGATCCTGTGGATTCTGATGGTATGTAGTTTATGTGATCTTGACAGATATACCACGTAGGGAGGAAAGGGATCTAGGAAAGGAAAAAGACAAAGAAAAACAGTAACATAGAGGCTTCACTCTCTTAAGTGAGTTTTCTAGTTGAGTTTCCTTTCAGTGTATTCAATGTGGGAAAATGGGACATTGCAAATCTAATCTGTTCCTCAAAGGCATTTGCATAAATCTCATAAAATAGAATTTCTGAGTTGGAAGAGCTACCTCAAAAGCCATCCTATCCAGCCTACTTCTTTCTGGCAGATGATATTTTCATTTCTGTTTTAATATTTTTTAGGTATTTGAAATCAAAAATAGACATGCTGGAAAATATATTCAGTGTTTCTGATTCTTATACTTGAAAAACCAAAGAATTTTTTTTTTTTAAAGATTTTATTTATTTTATTCATGAGAGACAGAGAGAGAGAGGCAGAGGGAGAAGCAGGCTCCCAAGGAGCAGGGAGCCCGATGTGGGACTTGATCCCAGGACCCTGGGATCATGACCTGAGCCGAAGGCAGACGCTTAACCATCTGAGCCGCCCAGGTGCCCCAAAACCAAAGAATATTTAATATTCTCAAAGTTCCTTTCTTTGACTCCTTAGCTCCCCTCTTCTGTTCCCTTGGGAGTAATAATCAGCAAGTACTTTAAATATTCATTAATTTACCAAGATAATGTAGTTCATTTCCAGCAGACGTGCTTTCCTTTTGCGTTCTTGTCATTAAAATCTTCTCTTGTGTATTTCCTGTAGGTGAAGTCCTGGGCTTTGAAAATCTCGTCTTTAGTATTTTTGAGTTTGTCCATGCTCTCCTAGAAAATAGCAAATTCAAAAGCACTGTTAAGAAAGCCTTGCCTGAGTTGATTTACTATATAATCCTGTACATGCAGATCACTGAGGAGCAGGTAAATGATATTTGGGAGACAGTTAGCAGCCTGTTTTGGGAAAGTGCAACTTGAATGTGAAATCTAGGTCAAGTGAACAATTTTTATTTCTGAAAATAGACACTAGAAGAGTAACTTCATGTGAAGTCCTAGGAAGGCTTTGATACCATCTTATTGCCAAAATTTCTGGGTGTTGTGGCTTTATTAACTCCAGTATTAGATAATTGGACTCTGAGAATACTTTTACCTCCATAGTACCACTAACCAAAGACCCTGGTATCTAGAAGAACTTACTCCTTTTCTATAAATACTGACACACAGACAGAAATCATTAGCTTGGTTGGTGGGTCATTAGACCAGAAAAGAACATTAAAAAAATAAGGTAATGTTTCCTCTCTTATATAAATACCACAAGAATCAGCATAATTTTCACATTAAATATTCCATGAGACCTAATATATTCAGAAAGTTGATCTGTCAGAAATAACAGCTGATGAAAGGTAGCAAAGAACTAGTAATCAGCCACATTCTAAAATAGTGTCTACTAGAGAGGAATAACTTTTGCTACTTACCTTGATAAAGGATTTGCTTCTCTACATCAAAAAGAAAAGACTTGGAAGCTAGAGTTCTGTTCCAGATAAAAACAAAAGGTTGAAATCTTCCTGTGTGTGTGGATGAAAAAAGGGAACATATGAACCAGATTGGCAGCCTCACAAAGACCTAACTTCATCATCCTTTCAGATTAAAGTATGGACAGCCAACCCCCAACAGTTTGTAGAAGATGAGGATGATGATACTTTCTCTTATACAGTTAGGATTGCAGCTCAAGACCTATTGCTGGTAAGTGGGTTCCCTTGATACTTCAACCAAAAAAACCCTAATCAATCAGTTGAGTATTCCCTCTTTCTAGGCATCTAACCCAAGTTGAGCAGTGTTACTGCGTGACTATATCTTAGATTTCTTTGAGGATAACAAGAGAGCATCCCAAATGAAGTTTGAGACTCAGGAATTCCAAAGTCATTGGTCCTGGTTTTGGTTTACAAGGAAATATTAGATGTAAAAATTGTACAGAGGATAAAGTGTTCTAATGAGAAAGAGTAGTTAAATCAGGAACACTCATTTTAATCCACTCTTAAGCCAGAATTTGTAGCACAAACCAGATGTTGGCAAACTTTAAAAAAAAATTAGATTGCTGAGAGAAGAACATCCAAACATCTGCTGTTTTCTTTGCTCTGACTAGGGCATAGAATTGTCTCTAGGCTGAAGTTCTGTGAAGAAGCTGCCTCTTGCTGTATATTGGGTGGAAGGTTTGTTCTCATTATCCTTCAGTATTTTTTTTTTTTTAAAGATTTTATTTATTTATTTGACAGAGAGAGACATCGCGAGAGAGGGAACACAAGCAGGCAGAATGGGAGAGGGAGAAGCAGGCCTCCCTCTGAGCAGGGAGCCCGATGCGGGGCTCTGTCCCAGGACCCTGGGATCATGACCTGAGCCGAAGGCAGACACTTAACGACTGAGCCACCCAGGTGCCCCTATCCTTCAGTATTTCTAAGGCACCTAGGAAAGATCACATGAAGTTTCAATTTGTAGATTAGCCTTTTATTTCTACAGTCAGTCCCCAGAGAATAAATAGTCTGGTCCATTGTTATCTGAAGCTGAGTCTATTAGTGCTACTTATTCTCTGCTCAATCTAGCCAAAGGAAGCTTTACATTTTGTTAGCTTTCCAATGCCTAGGCACTGCAGAAATATAAATATTACTCTAATTCCATTAAAGACCTTGAACTAAGAGGGGTTGTATTTTTAATACACCTAATCGGGGTTTAGCATGTATATGTAAAAGAGTTTGAACCACTGAGTTTGCAGTTAAGTTTTCAGTTTCAATTAAAATGGGTTTAATTCGGGAAGCCTGGGTGGCTCAGTTGGTTAAAGCGTCTGCCTTGGGCTCAGGTCATGATCCCAGGATCCTGGGATCGAGTTCCGCATCCGCTCCTTGCTCAGCCGGGAGCATGCTTCTCCCTCTCCCTCTGCCCCTGCTTGTGCTCCTGCTCTCGCTGTCTCTCTCTGTGTCAAATAAATAAATAGAATCTTTAAAAAAAAAAAAAGTAAAGTGGGTTTAATTTGCACAGACAGGTTTACCAGCCCCTCCCCTCTCTCCCTAGGCTGTGGCCACTGATTTCCAGAATGAGAGTGCAGCAGCCCTGGCTGCTGCAGCCACTCGGCATTTACAAGAAGCTGAGCAAACCAAAAACAGCGGTACCGAACACTGGTAAGAGTGAGCAGCAGATACTTAACTTAGGGACATATTCTGGGCATCAGATCGGAGACAATCAAATCCTTGCTTTGAATCATGTGTTTTAAAGCAATTCCTCCCAACCTTAAAATAATTGGTTAAGATGCTTTTATTTTACCCCTTAATTTAAAAAGCCTTGGAGGGAAGGACTTTTACTTTTGTTTTTAATTAGAAAAATCTGTTAATCTAAATGTCCTTGTTTTCAGCTCTAAATTTAAATTAGAAGGACAGAAAATGGCCTTTTTTGGGTCAGATTGTGCTGGAATGCCCTTTCCTTTTTCTCCTTCCCTCAGGCGTTTATCTTTTTGGCAGTGTAGTTTGTTTTACCAGACTATGGTATCGCTTTCTCAGGTGGAAGATACACGAGGCATGTATGCTTGCCCTCGGCTCAGTGAAGTCTATCATCACTGACAGTGTGAAGAATGGCAGGATCCATTTTGACATGCATGGGTTCCTGACCAATGTCATCCTTGCAGACCTCAACCTTTCAGGTATGTTTCAGCACAATGCCAGGATTCTGGAAGATCTTTAAACCTGTCATCAACTCAGTTATATTGTTCACTTAGATAGGTAAACCAGGTATTCATGTGTCCTTTGGGTGAAAATTCTTTCCACACTAGAGCTTGAACTCATCTGAACCTCTAAAACAGCCTAGAGACCTTGGCTCAGGCTTTACCAGCTAAGAAATATTGCCGCATTCATAATTTTTCCACTCTGTTCACATTTCCTTCCAAATTACTGCTCACATTTATGGCTGGTTTTGACATTTGAATAGGATGCAAATTTGGTTACTGTACCTTGAGAACTTTGGCTTGAGTTCTGTCATTATCAAGTGCAAAATACCTTCAGGCGGTTTGTGTCAGGCTCATTCTTCCTGTTTGTTTCCTGTCATTTTTCTCAAACTTTATTCTTGGCCAAGATCCAAATAATTAAAATGTTCCATTCTCAAGTCCATGTTAGCTGCTTGCCTTAAGGGAAAAAAAAAAAGTTGGCTCTACTATATTAGACTTGGATTTCTCCAGCAATGCAGAGCAATAGCTAAGAATTATCATCTCTCAATTTGACATCTTCAGCTATGTTGCTTCTGCCCATGCTATGCCTTATTCTCATCCTTAGACCCACCCACCCCCCCATTACAAAAGGCCATCTTTGCTTTCTCATGTACATAAATCATGGCACATTTGGCATTATTTGCTCCATTCACTCGCTCATAGACTAGCCGTTTGAATAGCCGAAGCCATTTGAAAACATTCTACTCTGACTTTAGGTAATCTGTTAGAGGATATCTTACAAAGTCACTTCCATTCTCTGACTCACAAAATTAAAATGGTTGAACATCCAGAGCTCAGGCCCATTGGAAATATCCTTTTTCACTCTTACACTGATGAATGTTTTCTTTCTCATACTAGACTATAAGGTCTCTGAAGGTAGAAATCATGTCTAATACATGTTTGTATCCCACAGTGCCTTGCATGTAATAGGCATTTCATAATTATGTGTTGAATGAAAGTGTCGAAATTTCTTAAACCCATCAATGTATTTTTTGTAGAATTTACCCTAGTAAAGAACCTTCAAAAATTCATGGAGACTTGAGGATATTTATAATTGAGACTGGGGCAAAGTTTAATATAGCATTTATTTTTTTTTTTTAAAGATTTTATTTATTTATTTGAGAGAGAGAGAATGAGAGAGAGCACATGAGAGTGCGGAGGGTCAGAGGGAGAAGCAGACTCCCCGCTGAGCAGGGAGCCCAATGCGGGACTCGATCCAGGGACTCCAGGATCATGACCTGAGCTGAAGGCAGTCGCTTAACCAACTGAGCCACCCAGGCGCCCTAATATAGCATTTATTATCCTGTCAATAGCTAAAAGCTTTTCGGCACTAGCCATTCTCAAACTTTCTGGTGTCAAGACCGCTTTATACTTTTAAAAATTATCAGTGATCGGAAAGAGTTTTTCTGTGAATTTTGTGTGTCAATATTTAACATATTAGAAATTAAAATTGAGAAGTTTCAGGGCACCTGGGTGGCTCAGATGGTTAAGCGTCTGACTCTTTGTTTTGTTTTGTTTTTATTTGAGAGAGAGAGTGAGAGAGAGAGAGCACAAGACGGGGGAGCGGGAGAGGGAGAAGCAGACTCCCTGCCGAGCAGGGAGCCCCATGTGGGACTCGATCCAGGGACTCCAGGATCATGACCTGAGCCGAAGGCAGTCGCTTAACCAACTGAGCCACCCAGGCGCCCTAAGCGTCTGACTCTTGATTGTGGCTCAGGTCATGATCTCAGGGTCGTGAGATTGAGCCCTAAATCGGGCTCTGCACTGGGTGTGGAGCCTGCTTAAGATTCTCTCTCTCCCTCGCCCTCTGCCCACCAACTCTAAAATAAATAAATAAATCTGAGAAGTTTCTAAAATACAGGGAATGCAAGCATACATTTCATTAGCTGTCAGAGCCATGGTGTCACACATCAGATCACCTCTGGAAAACTCCACTGTATATTTAAGAAAGAATGAGAATGAAAAAGATGGATCATATCTTGGTATCACTATGAAAGTTTTAACTTCGGGACTCCCAGGAGTCCCTGGACCATACTTTGAGTACTGCTATTCTGTATTATATAAATTAGTATGTAATTACCTAACTGGCACAGGTTGTTAGGTTCTGTTCAATAATTCTCATCAACTACATGTTTACAGGTAACTAAGGTAAGCCCTGTGATAAGCTGATTAAGTATAGTCCCTGTCTTCAAGCAGCTTATAATAGGTGGGGGGTGGGGTAGACATTCTTACACAGGTGGCTAGAATATCCAACAAAATATGTAAGAATATGTAAGAAAGCTAAAGACTAGCACAGAGATAGTTAGGATTACTTCAGCGTAAGATCAGTTGGATGATGCAAGTAGAGGTGAATGTCTTGGCTTATATACAAAGCACAGAAATGGCAAGGTAAGATGCAAGTTGCTGGGAGGGGTGTGTGCTTGAGTTTAGAACACATAAAAGGAAATCATCGATAATGCTAAAGTTCCTGATCATAGGGGGCCTTGAATATAATGCTTAACTAAAATGGTCTTTGTTTGGTAGACTATGGAATTTATTGACAGGTACTAAATAAAAGAATGACAGCTATAATTTATAATGTTTCAGTAGCGGTCCAAGAGTAGGAAAAAACTGGCAATGGAGACATTTAGGGGACTAAGTAGTAGTGCAGGTAAAGGATAATAATGAGAGGTAGGGATGGAAATGAGGGAGGTAAGTCTTTTTAGCCTAAGAATATTCAAGATCTGCTTTGCAACAACTAGTGAAAAGCGAAACTGGGAAAATGATTCTGTACCATAGGTTGAACATTTGCTTTTATCTGGTAAGATCATCCTTTTTCCTTAATTAAGTTGTATATATTATGTAGTATCCAGTTACTGTGACAAGTTGAGGATGGAGGTGGGAAAGGAGGAAGGGCAAGTAACAGAAACTTTTATTGTCCAACCCCTAATTGCTCTCTCTTCCTCCCAGTGTCTCCTTTTCTCTTGGGCCGGGCACTTTGGGCTGCCAGTCGGTTTACTGTTGCTATGTCCCCTGAATTGATCCAGCAGTTTCTACAGGCAACAGTTAGTGGTCTTCATGAGACACAGCCCCCATCAGTTCGAATTTCTGCCGTGAGAGCCATCTGGGGGTGAGTACACCACCTTAGGGTGGTAAGAGCTATTTTAAGAGAAAGTTTCTCAGAGTAGAAGTCCCAAACAGCATTTGGCCAGTGGGTTATGTTGCTTGGAAATTTCTGATGAAGATCTCCTACCAAATGGCAAATGGACGGGAAAAAAACATATCAAGAACATGGCTTCTATGCATGGGTTTGGATTTATGGTAGGCTCGTCCCTCTGGGCCTCTCATAGTGCCCCATGCCAGAGCAAACTGTGGCCCCGAACCATTGCCTGGCCTCTGCCATAGGCTGCGGGCACTGAAGTGGGTTGCACAGTGAAAAGAGAAAACAGAAAAAAAAAAAGAAACAATGTGGCTTCTTTGAGTCCCAGTAGATCTTGTTCCCTTTTGTTCCTCATTCGTTTAAAATTCACTCCAGCTCTGGAAACATCTAGACCAACTCCCTTTCTTAGAAAGGTGAAGAATTGAGGGATAAATAACTTGCATAGGGTTGTAATTGAAGAATTATAGAAGCATGATTAGAGCCCAGGTCCTTTTGTTGATTGATTTCCCTGTTTCAGAGACTAAATTTGGGATAATGAGGCCTAGAAATACTGCTTATTTTCTACTAGTTTTACCTCCGTTTTTCACAGCTAATATACTAGTGGCTCAACTAGTCATTTATTTATATTCCTACCAAGATCAGAGGGAGTATTGTTTTTTTGTTTTGTTTTGTTTTGTTTTAAAGATTTTATTTATTTATTTGAGAGAGAATGAGAGACAGAGAGCACGAGAGGGAAGAGGGCAGAGGGAGAAGCAGACCCCCCGCTGAGCAGGGAGCCCGATGTGGGACTCGATCCCGGGACTCCAGGATCATGACCTGAGCCGAAGGCAGTCGCTTAACCAACTGAGCCACCCAGGCGCCCGGGAGTATTGTTGTTTTAAGAAATATTTTAAAGTCCAAACTTAAAAATCTCAATCGAATTCTAAAAACTACCTAAAATCCTAAAAATACAAAATTCATCTTCTACCTACTGGTGCTCTCTTCTTTTGAAGTAGAGATTGAGATGCTCTGCATTATTATATATGTCTTTAGAAAGCATTGAGGGGAAATAGTGTATGCAGGATGGCAGAATAAGATGCCTGTCGCTTGTATCCCTCCCTCAACAACAATAACTTGGCATCTATTGGTGGACAACAGTGCCTTTGTGGGAGCTGTGAGACCCAGAGAGGAGACTGAAACCCCAGGGCTGTCCAAGAACAAGGAGAGCCTTTTTTTTTTTTTTTTTTTTTTTTTAAGAGTAGAGTGGAAGGTAGAATTGACATGGGGGACACAGGAAGAAGAGCAGATTTTTTAAAATTAATTAATTAATTTATTTATTTATCTATTAGGGAGACAGTGAGAGAGGGAACACAAGCAGGGGGACGGGAGAGGGAAAAGCAGGCTCCCCGCCGAGCAGGGAGCCCAATGTGGGGCTCCTGACCCGAGCCGAAGGCAGACGCCCAACAGCTGAGCCACCCAGGCGCCCCAAGGAGAGCCATTTTGAGAAGTCAGGCCCACACCCAGCAGCAGATGTATCAACCCTAGTCCTGGCTGTAGCCCCAGACACAGCTCCATGCCCTTAAGGGCTTGGATTCTATCACCAGCACCACACGTCAAGTACCTGGGAGGATCTTACCCAGCTGTGTGTTGGAGAATAGGAATACAGACCTTAGTCCCAGCTGCAGACCCTGAAATAGTCCATGAACTGGCTCCACCCCCTCTCAGCTGTGGTCCAGGAACCCCTGGAGAACACAGATTTAGACAATCAGCCAAAGATGAAAGAGCCTTTTTGGAAGTTCGGGAGTCCAGCAGAGAGATTCCAGCATAGCACTGGAGCCAAAGAAATCCAAGACTGGACAGTTTAAAGGGGTCAGTCAGTAAAGACTGGAAGAAGTAACCGTTACTTCAAATGTGAAGACCTGCAACACAAGAAAGACTTCAAGGAACATGAAAAATCAAGGAAACGTGACACCACAAAAGGAGCACAATAATTTTCCAGTAACTGAGCCCAAACACGGAGATCTGTGATATACCTGATAAAGAATCCAAAATAACTGTTTTAAGGAGCTCAGTGAGCTACAAGAAAACACAAAAAACAATTCAATGAAATCAGAAAAACAATACAGAAACATAATGAGAAGTTCAACAAAGAAATAGAAATCATGAAAAAGAACCAAGCAGAAATTCCAGAGGTGAAGAATACAATGAATGAAATAAAAAATGCAACAGAGACCATCGAAAGCAGAACAACTCAAGAGGAAGAAAAAAACCTGTGGAAAAGAAGACAGGACCTTTGAAATTATCCACTCAAGGAGGGCAAAGAATAAGGAACGAAAAAGAATGTAGAAAACCTATGTGAACTTCAGGATACCATTAGGAGAAACCATCTGTGAATTATTGGAGCTCCGGAAGGAGAAGAGAGGTAGAAGGGGGCAGAAAGCTTAAAGAAACAACATCTGAGAATGTCCCAAATCTGAAGAGAGATTGTACATCCATGTTCATGAAGCTAATATTTCACCCCAAAATTTCAAATTCAAAATGATCTTCTCCAACATACATTATAATAAAACTATCAATTAGTTAAAAAAAAATTGTCTAAAATCAGATGACTTTTAAAGCAGCAAGAGAAAAATATTTCTCTCATGTAAGGAAATCCCTATAAGACTGTCAGCTGACTGCAGCAGAAACCCTGCAGGCCGGGAGAGAGTGGCATGATATGTTAAAAGTGCTGAAAGAAAAAACTGTCAACCAAGAATACGCAGCAAAGATGTCCTTCAGGAATGAAGGCAAGATACAGTCTCTCAAACAAAGCTGAGGGAATTCTTCACTACTAGGCCTACCTTACAAGAAATGCTGAAAGAATTCTTAAAGCTGAAATGAAATTAATAATATGAAGTATACAACACACTGATAAAGATAAGTATATAATCAAATTCAGAATACCCTAATTCTGTAATCTGGCAGTGTGTTAACCACTTATCTCTAAAGGTTAAGGGACAAAAGTATTGAAAATAGCTAGCTAAATAATTTAATGAATATATAATATAAAAAGTTAAATTGTATCAAAAACATAAAAGAGGGAATAAAGAGTAGAGCTTTTGTATACAAAGTCATCAGTGTGAAATAAACTGTGATATCTATAAATGTTTTATGTAAGCCTCACAGTAACCACAAAGCAAAAATCTATAATAGACAACAGAATCAGAGCATTCCACTATGGGAAATAATAAATTCACAAAGACAGCAAGAGAGGAAGAAAGGAACAAGGGCGCCTGGGTGGCTCAGTTGTTAAGTGTCTACCTTCAGCTCAGGTCATGATCAGGGAGTCCTGGGATCGAGCCTCACATCGGGCTCCCTGCTCAGCGGGGAGCCTGCTTCTCCCTCTCCCGCTCCCACTGCTTGTGTTCCTTCTCTGGCTGTCTCTCTCTCTGTCAGGTAAATAAAAAATATTTTTAAAAAATAGAAAAGACCCAATTTATATGCTGCTTTTAAGAGACTCACTTCAGGATACACATGCTCAAAATGAGGTGATGGAAAAGCTATTCCATCCAAGTGGAAACCAAAACAGAGCAAGGGTAGCTATATTTTTATCAGATAAAATAGACTTTAGGTCAAAAGCTGTACAAGAGACAGAAAAAAGGTCATTATGTAATGATAAAGGGGTCAATTCATCAAAAAGATATAACATTTGTAAATATATATACATTTGACATTGGAGCACCTAAATATATTAAGCAAATACTAACATCTGAAGGGAGAAATAGACAATAATACAGTAATTGTAGGGGACTTTTAATAACCCACTTTCAACAATGGGTAGATCATCCAAACAGAAATCAATAAGGAAATATTGGATTTGAATTATACTTTTGACTAAATGGACCTACTAGGCATATACAGAACGTCCTATCCAACAGCAGCAGAATACACATTCTTCTCAAGCATCCTCCAGGAAAGGTCATTGTGTTAGGTCACAAAACAAGTCCTAGCAAACTTAAGACTGAAATCATACCAGCTCTCTTCTCCAATCACAGTGAAATAACAGTAGAAATTAATTACAGGAGGAAAACTAAAAAAATTCACAAATACGTGAAAATTAACAAACTCCTAAACAATCAATGGAAAAAGAAATCAATAGAAAAATATCTTGAAACAAAAATGGAAACATACCAAAACTTAAGGGATATAGCAAAACCAGTTTTAGGAGAGTTTATAGAGATAAGTCTGTACATTAAGAAAAAAAAATCTCAAACAACTTTACATCTCAGGAACTAGAAAAAGAAGAACACATTAAGCCCAAAGTTAATAATAGGAAGATCCAAGCAAAAATAAATAGAGACCAGAAAAACCATAGAAAAGACCAGCTAACCTAAGAGCTGTGTTTTTTGAAAACACAAAACCGATAAACTCTAGCTAAGCTAAAAAGAAATGAGAGAAGACTCAAATATAAAATCAGAAATGAGGGGCACCAGGGTGGCTCATTCGGTTAAGCCTCTGACTCTTGGTTTCAGCTCAGGTCATGATCTCAGGGTTGTGAGATTGAGACCCGAATCCGGGCGCTGTGCTCAGCGGGGAGTCTGCTTGAGGATTCTCTCTGTCCCTCAAGGCCCTGTTTGCACATGTGTGTGCGCCCTCTCTCTCTGTCTCTAAAATAAATAAATCTTGGGTGCCTGGGTGACTCAGTCATTAAGCATCTGCCTTTGGCTCAGGTCATGATCTCAGGATCCTGGGATGGAGCCCTCCTTCGGGCTCCCTGCTCCGCGGGAAGCCTGCTTCTCCCTCTCCCACCCCCCTGCTTGTGTTCCCTTTATCACTGTGTCTCTCTCAAATAAATAAATAAAATCTTAAAAAATAAATTAATTAAATAAATCTTTTTAAAAAATCAGAAATGAACGAGACATTGTAACTGATACCACAGAAAGGCAAAGGATCATAAGAGACTACTATGAACAATTATATGCCAACAAATTGGATAACCTAGAAAAAATGGA